CCTGTTGCACTTTGAACCCTTTGCCAGAATATATTTTTCTCTTTTTGAAATGATGATTGGTCCTGTGCAGACACCAGACAGATGGTGTTATCCACCTCCTGGGCGAGAGCAGCAACAAGTGTGCAATTAAAGAGCCTGAAGAGAGGCTTCGTTCACAACAGATAAACTCCGGAAAGCAAAACCGATTCAGCTGGATGCCGCAAAAATTAATAGTTCCTACGCGATGCATTTGGAGACTTAAATTTGATGTGTGGAATCCTAGAACACGGCAAAAGTGAAATCAGCGAGAACGCATGAAAGCTAATGATTAGTTTGTGCAATTTTACGTAGTCAGCAGCACGAGGACTGTCTTTAAATTAACACTTTTTGCATACACAATTGGAGGTACTCGTCCGTTTGCGATTGCCAATCCAGCGTTTTCTCCACCAAACATGCTGAGGTTGTAGGTTTCATAAAGAAAAATGAAGCGCAGGGTTTCAAACGAGAAATAATGCAATATTAGTAGCTGGCTTGGACATTATTTTTCCTCCCTTTCTCCCCTTCAAGAGCATCTTCCACCCAAGTCCTCGCTGTCGTGTGCGAGCAGAGATGGCCTTGCCCCATCTTTCATTCAAGCTGAGTCAGGATCAATCACATGACACCCCGGTGATAGATAGGCAATCTAATAACACTAGGAGCTAAAATAACTTCACTCACTCAGTCCTTGACCTTACAGAGCGAGCAGTCCGTTTGCTTAAAAGCTACGGCTATCACATAAAAATGGATTTTTCTTTTGAATCAATTGCAGTGGAAACATTTGAAGCTAAACTGGCCACAGAAAGCTGTCACCAATAAAGAATCGCTGTTGTCACGGATTTATACGCCGTCTCCACTGCGGGCTATTTAACCTCAATAAAAGACAATGCAAGCAGTTTTTCTTTTTTTCTTTTGGAGCGGTGAAGGAACTGCCGGTGGAACCAGGAACCATCTCAGCATGTGTAGAGCCGGAGGAAGAGGCACAATTACCGCGGAATGATGGAGGCGATGCCACTGCTGAGGCGCCACACAGGACACAGAGGAAGTGGTGAAACATTCAGGTCACGCCGAGTTCAAACGCGCTCACGGATAACGGCGGTGTGAATCGAGGACATTTTAGAGACGAGGCCTGTGAATTGTGATGCCGCAAATTTGATTTAACAGAAGAGAAATGGTGGAATTTAAACAGGAAAACATCCTGTCTGGAGGCGAACATTATGATTCATCGATGGCTCATTAACGAACAATAATTGGTGTGGAACAGAATAATGTGACTTATGTTAGTGGCTGCTCCAGAGTCACAAATATTCTAGTAATTCAGACCCTATAGCTGCTTCTTTTGACTAATCCTAGCTTTACAAGTCACATTTCAGGTGTTGTGTGTCTTGCTAAAGTTTGCAAATAATGACAGATTCGCTGTTAGACTCGCTCCAGTCGTGTCACGGCTGTAACCAGATGCACCTGGGCGACGGGGTCCTGCCAAAAAAACCTAATAAATCCCTTTGAAAAATGCAGCACACAGATTAATTAGAGTAGGCAAGGAATATGAACACCTTAGCTCTTTGATGTGTAGAGTTTAACTTTTGTAATAGTGCAGGTAAAGTATTAAACGGATGCACTACTAAACTGGTCAACCTCATTTTGGGTTATCTTAGTTTTAATGTAAGCACTGATGACTTTTACATCTCAATCATGTCTGCTGCTGCCAACAGTATAAAATAGTAATAACACACGACTCATGTTCCAGCGTCAAAATCAGCTCCATCCCAGAAGAACCCTGACGTCCCAGGTGTATTTACAAGATTCGTCTTTTCATTTTTCATGAGTTGCTCATGACAACGAATCCTATTTTTGTCTTATGTCTCCAGTCCAAACAAATGTAAGCCACAGCTCCCAGGGTTTCTCCAAACATATCAATATTCAGCTGATAACGCCTTTAATCTTCGGCCAAGAGAACCTTGCATAACTCCTCCGAACACTACGGGGAGTTCCCGCTAATGATCAAAAATGATAAGGAAGTATGAAGTAAATAGCTGGTAATTAATTTAAATAGGCCTTCCCATTTATAATAAAGCACCCTAGATTATCGGCGCCGACCTTCTTGGATGGAAACAAAGAAGAAGTGGAAAGAATTAGATCCAGTTTCAAAAAGAATCCGATGATGAGCTGTTCTGGTTTTACTTACTCTCTGGGTTTCACGAGTATCTCAGTCTAAAGTAAACCCAACATCACCACGGTGCTGTGTGCATGATTACTGAATGCAAATGTTTGGGTGAACTGTACCTGTTAAAGTGTTGCTGAAGCTCCATCAAACTCCAACTCAAATCCAAATTTGGCACTTCGTCGGGTGACGGCTGGAAAGTAATCATAATAATCACACAACACAAAGAAATGCATCTTACCAAATCAACTAGAGGTGTAGCATTAGCCAAGGAGTTGTTTGATCCTCAAAAAATGACATTTTAAATGGAATCACTGCAAGAACATCAGTGTTAAAGCTTCAACACAGGAGTCTAGAATGGCTGCTATTGTCAATATCTTAGTTTCATATGTTAACATCCTGACATTTGCTAATTTACGTTAAGCACAAAGCTGTGGTCATGCAAGTTTTAGAGATATTTTGGTCGCACAGTAAAGTAATGGAGATGTACCACAAAGCAGGATGAGTGGTTTAGCCAACGCTGAGCTTAGCATAGACTCTTCTTCTACTGCTTCATAAACCTTCTGCTATTTTATATCACGAGAGAAAAACAGCTGCTTTGTTCTGTAAGTTATAAAACACGGACCTTCCTGTATTTCAAAAACCGTGAAACGTCAACAATATTTCAAAGTCTTACGTAATAATTAACAAATACATGTATGACATAAGCATTGCTTTAGATTTAGACATTCCTCAGAGGCAGTTTGGTTAATGCAGAGTTAACGGTGTCCACTAAAGCTCAGTAAAGCTAGATAACACGAAGAAAGACAGAGCAGCACCAAGTTTTTGTCAAATTTACCTGCTTCAAGTGAAAATTCAGATGGATCATTAGAGTCAATATACTGTAGACATCATGGACATCTGTACGACGTTTGCTAGAAATCCAGAAGATAATATTCAAGACACTTCACTTAAGGACAAAAAAAAGAGGAAACAATAAGTGAAACGGACCAACTGATGGTGCAAGAAGAAGAAGAAGAGTCAGCGGATCACCAAACTTACTGAGATTCATCCTCTGGAGACCATGAATGCACAAGTTCAAAGCAAATCTTTTAGTGTTTGTTCAGACACTTAGTCTGGACCAAAGTTGAGAGCAGACGAACACGTCCACCTCTAAAGCCATATCCAACAGCACGGCAAGACAAAACAAGTTATGGTTCCTCAATGGGAGTACGTTAACACTCACACAGGAAGCAGAGCTCGTCCTTCCACACTACTAAGGCAAATTAATATAAATCAAAACAATAAAGAAGAATTTTCCATCATAATTTGCAAGCACCCTTCTGCACCGAGCTTCTAATGTTCAAAGCCCCATTATTTTTTAATCTTCCCTACGACTAAATTGCATGTTTAAAAGCCCAGACCCTGTGCATGTTCGTGGCTTCAGAACAGATGGCAGCCTAAAGGTCAAAAACACACATGAGGCTCAGTGCAGAGGGATCAATCCACTAGGATCCTCCTGCGTGTCTCTGGTGGATCCCATTGGGAGAGACGCCACCAAAGGCTTCATTTGAACTCGGCAAGCTACAAAGAGAGACCCCCCACGTCTGGTCCTGATTCCATGAGGGCAGACTGCAGCAGTAAGCACAGAGCGTCACCCATTCACTTACAGGCTCCCACGAGTCCATTCAGGAGCGCAAACAAAACTAATTTAACATTTAGTTGAAAATGTTTTGTGACTAAACTGGAAAAATCAGAGTATTAACAGAAAACAGTTGGGATGTAACGAGATAATCACACAATGAGTATATAAATCTGTGTTAGTGAGCATGAGGGGCAAAATTCTCTAAATCAGTGTAAGAATGTTAAACTCCTTTATCACTGAATGTATAACCTGGTTTAACTGTGCTTCGTTAAATGATGTTGTGTTACTAATCCACTTCAGCTTTTTAACATTGTGAACCCAGTATCACATCATGAACGGCAAAATCAAACCTATGACTGTGTGTGTATGTCATGTGTATAAAAACAGCTGGAAAAAGCTCGCACAAATGTCATAGTTCAGTTTTTATTTCCATTGTTTTCCATCCTTTCGTGGCATCAACCGTTTATCTCGAGGTGCTTCATCTCCGGGCCGACTGCATTATGATGAGCATCTACCGACATAGATTTAGTCACAAAGCAGAACGCCACAGCACCACCGTGGGCACATTTGGGTTTTCAGTCAAATAAAAAAAAAAAAAAAAAGAGATGATTTTGTTCGATTTACAGCAAAAAGGTGGCTGTCAAACACATCAAAACCACTAATCTAAAACCGATAGAGGCACAGCATGGACAGAAATACTATTATTTGTGTGTCGACTTAAATTTTAGGACGGCGACAGCCCTAATTAAACCTAATTACAAGAAGCTGCCTTTGGTCCAACAGACAGAAGAATAACACAGGAGCCCCGCCGCTGGCCGACTCCCACATCTGACTGGATGTTCTATGATCTACTCTTTACTTAATGAGGTGTCATGTACAGTTTATATAAAAGGTGTGACCTTATTAAACTGTGAGTGAAAGGGTGAAGCAATAGCTGTGGAAAGATAAATGGCAAGGCGGTATGGAAACTCATTTCGCCCGTAACCTCCGAGAAGCCCGCGTTTGATTGTTCGGAGACGCTTTACTGACATTTGTGGCTCCATTTAAATAGTGCTGTTGGATAAAACACATGCAATATTAAAAAAAAAAGCCAACGCAATTAAAAACGAATTAAATTAAAAAAAAAAAAAAAAGCCGGCAAGAAAAAAAAAACCCAACTTTGGAAAAAAAATAGTCTTAGAAATGACAGTTTTGTTCAGAGATTGTTTAAAAAATACTGAAAGAAAATCTAAATAATATTTTAAGTGCAATCACATATTCAAAAAAAAAAAGAACCCGCAGAAATGTATTCAAAATGCATCCACAACCAGTGATTGTAACTCAGTAAATGCTGAAGTTAGGAGATTATTTGCTTGCTCTTTACATCCGACCACTTTTCCTGAGACCGCTCCAAGCTCTGCAAACACCGCGCTTGTTATTCTTTTCCTTTAACTTGATTTCTGACAGCCAATTCAATTAGGCTGGATATGTGTGGGTGTAAAAAAGGCAACATGACAAACCGAGAAGATGGATGGCAACCTTTGCTTCACCATTAAAATCACAATTGCGTCGCATTGAAGCTCAATCTATTGCCGTATTACCAGCTGCAGCAGAACGAACACAGCTTGGACCGCGGCGCTAGACAGGGTCATAACTAACCACCGTCTGCAGTTCAGCTGGTTCTGAAAAGGATCTGCATGCTGGGTTTTTTCTATTTTCGGTGGCCAGTTGTCAAGGCCACATTTGGTACGTCCATCACAATTTAATAAATGTTGGCTGAACAAAAAAACTAGTTCAAAAATAAAGCTAAAGGCAGAGGGAGAATGTTTCAGTTCCGAGGTGAAGGCACGGTGACTCATCGGCCACCTGACCTTAACGGCAGTCCGACGGTTTGTGTTGTCTGGCCGAGCCCCTGTCGGAGTCCTCTGGCGCCAGGGAGGAGCTGACCTGTTGGTAGATGAAGGAGTAGAGGCTGACGTCAGGGCGCCGACCGAGGCAGCTCTTGCACTCTGAGCTGTAGTACTGTCCCAGCAGATCGTACACCTCCCCTGTGACAGGAGACAAGGAGATGGTGTCTAACGTCTACTCTCCACAGCGGACTGATATTCTAGCAAGGAAAATGTTGACAAGCTCTCAGGATCAATAATTAGCCATAGAACTGCTTTCATCACATCATTTACAACAAAATCGCAGCAGAAAATATATTATTTCTTGCATCACGTCCTTGAGAGCGGAATCGATAAAGTGCAAACAAGAAAGGCATAAACACAGTTTCATTAAAACGAAAAGCCGACAGGATGCTTTACCAACACTGATGTTCCTCTTAGTGAGGAAAGAGTGCATGTCGTGGACATCTGTCATGAGCTGGCTGTCACCAAAGGTGAAATAGGCTACATCTCGGCCCGCCTCAGCAGCTGCCAGCATCTGGAGCAGAGCTGGAGGAAGACAAGGCTGCGTTAAACCTCGACAGTGACACAAAATACGTTTCATGGAGCGACCGAGGGTCTATAAATGATTTAATACTTGGAAAAGAAAACTACAAAAGCTGAAAGTGTGTTTCCACAAAGTTTTTCCAAACCTTTTCAGTGTCTAAATAAATATAAATATAACAGATAATGAACAGGTCTGAGGAGTCATCCAGCAGCTGATGTCTCCATTAGAACTGAGTGGCACCAGCCTGCCTTCGCCTGTACACTGATCGTAAGTGATCGGGGGGGAATAGGTCTCACCCCCGCTGAGAACTCTGGATTAGTTACAAAGGGAGGCCAGGTCTGGCCCCGGAGAGCTGTGAATATTTTAAGAGACGGGAAATATGTCTGCTGATTAATGAAGGTTGGGACGCTGCCACGTTAATGAGCAGAACTGAATCAACATTTTCAAAAGGAGGCTAAGCTGAATATCTCCACATTTCAGCAGTTTCTCTGCCCCTGCTCTGTTCAAACTGCTTCCTTCAGAAATTATCTGGCAATTAGATAATATAGGTGGTGATGCAAGGCCACAGAAGCTAAACCCTGGCATCTGAATTACAAAGCTCGTCCCCGGAGGCATGTCATTAAGCAGACAGTGGGTGACTGTGCCTATGGAGGGCTGTACCTCGCTATGGCCAATTAATAAATATGCATGGACGTATGTATATTTGTAAGCAGCAGAGGGGCTCTAAGTGAGAGAGGGGGGAAGCAGTGGCTACTACTGCAAGCGGTGAGCTTAAACTCTCCCCTCAGCTCAGTGACAGTGATACAAGGCACAGACGGAAAGCTGTAACAGATTGATGGACTCAAGCGGGCGATCAATTTCACTATTAATGAAACATATTAACTTTGACGTTTGATCAATAGGAGGAAGGCGACGAATAGGCCTTAAGTAAATGAACGCATTCCTGGAAGACAAATGGATGCCCACACTGATCTGCTGGAGTTTTTCAATCTGAAATTTATTCTGCTATATCCAGGAAAGAGAGTCCAATTATGTCGCCAAGTGCTCCAAGATGATCCTTTCTTTTTTTTCCCTCCACACAAGACCTACTGACGGCAGCGTTACGTCGGCGCGTACCTTTGAGACGTGTGTCACCTCCAAAAACCCCACAGCCCCAGTTCCCCGTCGCCACGGCCGCAAGGTTTTCGCTTTGTTCTTCGGGCCGTGCGAAGCCACAATAAGCCTACGTACAGACAGAGTAAAGAGAATATCGAAGGTAGAAAATGAATGTAAAGACACAGAAAAGCACAACTCCAAATCACATGACAAGTAGTAAGCAAACTACATAAAGTAGGAAAATACTGATGGGTCTGAAATCAGTTTGGAGGGTTTAAATCCTCATAATAAGTAAAGCACTCAAGTACATTGAGCCACATGCTGCAAGGTCATAGAAGTATTTAAGGAACAGGTCTCAGGATTGCTTTATCGTTTCAGATCACTGGTATCCTTTATAAAAAAAAAAACCCGGCTAACAGAACATCTGCATACCTTGGAGTGCAGAAAACAACTAACGAATTGTATTTTCCTGCAGGCCCTGAACTCATCATAAGGACTAGTTGGCCTGACTGAAAATATTTCTCTAACATTACTTTACACTTCACCCATCTTCACTCACTTATAGATTTTACATATTAATAATTGGACTAAACCCATGTGCACAAATAAGTGCGACTGACGTGATGTGTCAGGTGGGTCGTAAGTGACACGAGATCTAATTTCTAAAAGCGGCACATGTTAAATGAAAGATCTGAAGGGAGCCCTGGACGTTCATTTTCACATAGGAAATGAAGTGCATATTGAAAATGAATTGTAAGTGCCCATCCTCTCCCTGACCGGTCATAAATTCTTCCTGTGAAAGGGCAGATATGACAGTTTGCTGAACAAAATCCGAAGCGGGATTGATCTTTGTGTTGGTGCATTCCTCACACCCTTGTCAGAGCTGTCAAACTCCTCCATGCTTTCTGACGGCAGACTTGACAACATCAACATCTTGATTTTCTATTACGAATAGACATGACTGCTCTGGGAGGATTACACATATGGAAGGACAACTGTTTTTTAAAAAATAATAATTGTGATGTAATAACTGTGATTAATTGCCCTGACGTCAATTATGCTCATTAAAATTCATTCTGGGCCTAATGATCAATGTAATGAATAAGATTATGCTTATTCTCTACAAATAAAACCATCTATCAGAGCATATTATAGGCATGTGACACTTGGGATCCATAATTTATATATTTACCCTTAGAAAAGTAAACACGAGTCGATGCGGTCTCAGCTGACATTTGTGATGAGACTGTTTTTCCATTAGCGACTAAATGGATTGACGGCGAGGCCATTAAACGTGTGCAAACCAAACATGGAGTGAAAGTTAAAAATGATAATACTGCGGCCATAAACTCTTTCAGAGACGTGACTACGGGCGATAAAAAAAAAAAAACAGTCCATAAAAGAGTAATGGCAGAATTTCCCCGCAATTACTGTTCATCTGTCTCATAAAACAAAACAGAAAAGAACATTTACAGCTAATACATGATAGCTATTGAGATTACATAATGTTTTGTTTTTCTTCTCAGTTATTTTTCATTTAAACCACAACCTGATCTAACCCAGTGTCAAACACAAACGCTAAATGCAAAACATTCGTGTTTGGTGACAAGTGGAGCAAGAAAAAGCCCCAAGAGAAATAAACGGCGTGAAAGAAAATTAAAAAATAACCTTGTTAAGTTCTCGGTTTATTCTGTTTGGGTGAAACTGTTCAAGATGGCTCCTGAACTGCAGCGCATCGATGGCCACGATCTCGGTGCATCTCCTCTGCCAGCCGTCACTGAAACAAATCAAAGAAAGGGGTGATTTTAGTACAACAACAACAAAAAAAAAGGGGGCAAAAAATTCCAACAAGGTCAAGCAAAAAAAAAAAAAGCCCAAAAAAAAAAAACAAAAAAAACCGAAAAAAAAAACAAGCCTTAAAAAAATAAAATGTCTGAATTTAGTTCCAGTTGTTTAGAAATAAATAGAAATATAAGGAGTGTGAAGATACCTCCAGGTGTAACACGAAACGGACACGCTGCAGCTTACAGTCATGCTAGCAGCTCTACGAAGGCTGCTAAATGCTAATATCAACACACTAACATGCTCACAATCGTGTTCTAACTTTTTAACCAGATGATGGCGCTAGATGAAAGGTCAGCAGATCAATAGCAAATATTGCAATTCATCCTGAGAGAGACACAAACATCCATAGAAATTGTGTTGGTAATCCATGCAAATCTCGTGAGATATTTCACTAAAAACCACAAATGTCAACCCATGAGTGTATAAAACATTCTCATCATACCAAGATCATACCAATCTGAGTAACCGGTTGTAACAAAGGGGGTTAAACACAGCATTTATTTACAAATGTTAGCTCATGCAGATGCAATACGTACCTCGGAGTTACGTCCTGGTGTTTGCCGCTCCACTTGTAGGTCTGTGCGTAACCAGTGTATTTACTGTACTGCTGCGTTCCTGCAGGGAGCAACACATTAATACAGATTTTATTTTTTTAAACATTATCAGAATAGAAGACACCTTTGAGCTACGTTAACGAGGCAAAGCTGAAAAAGCAGGTAGGATTACACCGAGTTAATCTGTGTCAGTTTGTGGTAATCGTCAGCAAAGACATTTACAAACTCTGACATGACCGTCACTGGATTACTATTAGTGGTGGAGACATTCTGCTGCACTGTAGCTAACAACAGGCCCTTAAACACACCTCTATGGCAAAGAATTCTCTATTAATTAAATAGCAAATACAAAGAAAGCGAATTATCTAAACAGTCAATCTCAAACAAATACAGAGACTTATTTAAAAATCACTGTAATAACACTTTTCAGACGGTGTGTGAGCAGCGAATCTGGCCCAACGAACCGGGAGCAGCTGCCTGCGACAAGAGGAAGGTCAAGTTATTACCCCTCCTCGAAACGACGTGAGGAGCAGCGACTGACCGCCGGCCCACAGGGGAACACTCAACACCCGCTAAACGGGGGGAGCAGGGCGGACTGCACAGTCAAACAAATGAGGCCGCAAATTAACTTCCCATTCATTAGCACTCATTAGTACCTGACTGTCGAGAGCACTTGTGGAGATGCTTCATGCTGCAAAGTGAATAAACCGAATGATTACTAGTGGAGCCTTGGTCAGCAGGTTTCAGGAGGTGTACATGGGAGGAGGGGGGATCTCTGGAGTGCTCTTCACTTGATAGACATTTCACTACTAATCAGCAGGCCTCTTGTTTGTTTTTTTAAGTAATAAGCAAACTCCTGCCTGAATAAGAAATTGAAGTGCCTATTCTAGTTGAATTTAAACAAAACAGATTAGCAGAAAGGGTTCAAACATCTATTACGTGGGCAATCATGAATCAATCGTGTTTCTGCAAAAGCACAAACAAGTAAGGATTGTTTAGATTGTGCTGCTGAGGAGCTTCACTCTCAGGCCTCGTCCACACGTAGCAGGGTTTTTGTAAAACCGAATATCCTGTTCCCTCCATCTAGAAAAAAAACTAACGTACACACCACCTCGTTTTTAGAAAAGAATTCATCCACACCAACCGCATTAGTTCGTTGTTGTTAAGCACATCCATATTCTACATGAGGATGTAATAACTCAGACGACAGGAAAGATGACCGGGACGTACGGAAATTGTCACGCCATTCCTCCCGGAGCACAATTTCAAAGTTCTCCCACCAGCTGGCAGTGCGTCCCAGTCTGACCCAAAACCAGCGTCGGTGTCTTTGACGGAGAACTCAGACATGGAATGGCGAGGTGGTGGAAAATAAAGGTCCCTAACGTCGTCCTTCGCCCGTGTTCTTGTACATGGAGCAGTATCTGGGCCTGGACAAGTTCTGACACAGTTCTGAGGTTCCAAATGTAAACACAGGTCGCAGATGTGATGTAAAGAACAGATTTTGTTGCAGGCAGTGACGTTTCGAAACTGGTTATTGACGTCCACATGCAGATGCACTAATGGAGGATTCGCAGATCTTCACTTTGGTCAGAGGTTTTTAAAAGAATCGTTTTTAATGCCGTAAATCTGCGCTGTTGTGTGGTTGACGGGCCACATCGTAGAAAGATATCTTGGTTTTGTGAGATACCTGAGGCCTCAGTGGAGGTGTTGGATTTTGGGATACAGATTTTACTTTGGGCTAAAAGGTAATTTAACTTTTTGGTTGAATCATTCACAGGTGATACAGCAAGATGGCAAAACATACTATAAGTGAATATTGGAGCACAGCAGCAGCTTTTTACAGTCTACTGATCACGTACATTTTGGTCAGACAGCGAGAAAAAAAAAAAGGTTATGTGTCTTTTTATAGGGCGGATGTAAACTTCTGGTTTAGACTGTATCTCAACTTGCGCCCACGTGGGAGTTCAATGGATATTTGCATTCACACTAAAGCTCTGGTTCTACGAGCACAATAATCAGATCAAAGATTTACTTGAATATTTGCAATACTTTCATGATGTTAGAAATTATAAATATGCAAGCACAATAAGATGAACTAGACGTGTTAGCTGTGCACACGACTGACCTTTACTGGTTCCCCAGAAAAACTCTAAGATCAACTGCTTTTGCATTTGAAAGGAACATTCTTCGGGAACAAAATGAATTTTTTATGCACCCATTTGTCATTTGTTATGTGTAACAGATCAATCTTGGCCAGGAAAAGATGTGCCTGGTTATTAAAAACTATTTCTAAATAACAAACAAACAAACAAAAAATATCAGCAGGTACGATTCAAAATGTCTTGAAGGTTGTTCCATTCATGTGTAAATACATCAAAACAAAGCGTCTCGTATTTGTGGAGGACCAGACACTGAAAGGTCAGGAGCGCATCTCATTGCCATGTCGAGGTGCCCGTTTACATGTAAAGAAACAGAAAATAGTAGGATATGGAAAATATGGTTGTCTACAGCAGGAACGCTACAGAAATGATGCAGCGAAACAGGCTGCAAGCAACAAAATACTACTCAGAGTGGAGGAAGATCTCCCCGCGCCGCTGTGTCCTGCTTACATCATGCATGCGACGTGTTTTCTGGTCAGTCCTGCGATCAATGAATCATATGACTTCTCCTTGGTGCTATTTATACTTTTGACCGCCCCAGTGGCAGCCGCATATCTAGCAATCAAGAGAAAATTCAATTAGGCCTGGGCACTTTTGCAAATTTCAGAGCAGAGGTAAGATCCATTACCTTCTGCACTGTATGCCAAAGCGCATCACGGGGGGAATATGATTTACCACATGCCCACGACGCAGCTAACGCTCGGACTTTTACAGTGAGGGAACAAGAGATACAGGCGGGGTTTAATAAAGATGATGGAATGGGAGAGTCCATTAGCGGAGCGGGTCTTGGGCAGGTCTTCCAGCCATAATTAATTCTGGGGCTCAGTAATAAAGTTAAGTGGTGTAAGTGGAGGCATGGGAGAGATGGCCGGCAAGAATTCTGAAGGTGACTCTGCAAGAAGCTCTTACGCTGCAGGATGATTGGTGGTTGGGAGGACGGCGTCTCTGCTCCTGTTCTAAACCAAGCCACTTGTTATGCAGCGGTAAAGTGTGGTTATTGATTAAACCACCAAAAAAAACCTCTTCGCTGTGCATCAAAATGTCATACGTAGAAGTTTTTTCCAACTTTCTTGTGAGATGTATTCATACTGTTGCTTCCTTTAGAATATGCAGATCCATAAAGTCCCCGCCTCTCTCTCCAACAACACCTCCCCCGTTTACTGCAGCTTAAAGCACACCAGCTCTGCTCAGACACCGTGAAACTATTGTGTGCAATATTGGCGTGATTCTGCTGCTCACTGTCACCGGAAACTGAATCTGAACAAGACCATTGATCCAGAAAGCCCTCCCTTCCCCTGTGAGCGGACATAATTGGTTCCTTAGGTTTGTTACGTAAAAACCTGGCTGTCTGAACCCATGTCATTGGGACACTGCAGCTATAAGTCATGCTTTTAACAGCTTTTTATATATATTTACATCATAGTCTATCTTCCAGCATATAAAATACATCATAAGGACACTTGATTTTTTTTTCCAGAAGTGGTCATTAAAGCAGTTTGTTGATTTTTGGGTATTTTCATTTGGTTGACCTCATACACGATCTATAGGAGGACATATATTTTAATATGTTTATCGTACAGCATAATGTAACACCAGTGATATTTGTGGGAACAGAAATAGTTTAACTAATTGGTCAACTTTGTCTGCAAGTGGTGCAACTGGACTACTTGGGTTCAGATGAGAGAGCTGAGTCCAAACAATGAAATTAAGGCCAGTAAAATTTAAACTATGAGCGGAGAGAGTCTAAAATGGTTCTAGGAGATGAGGGGAACTGTAGTGCCTTCTAGTGATTTGATTCACTGCTACATCACCATGAAGCGAAAATAAGTCAAAGAGCACAGATAAACCCCGAAATCACTGGTTTGGTATCAACCTGGCAGGTGTGTCCAACATGTAATCAGTTATCGTAGCTGCTCTAATGGGAAAAATGTTTTACAAATAAAACTGAGGAAAAATGTCTCACTTTGGTTCACAATCACTTGCATATAGAGCGAGAAGAACACAAAACATGTTCAGTCGTAGCCTATTTGATTCATGTAGCGTGTATTAAAACGTGGATTTCTTGTTACGAGCTCACTGGATTGTTTTTCCTAGAAGTGGTAATTTCCTAGTAGCCCAGTTGTAAAATTTGCAAATTGATTTCTAACCACTGGATTTGTTCAGGTTTCTTGTTTTGTTTTGACTGGCTGTTACTATTTTAGCCTGGTCGTCAAACCTCCTTCATCAAACACGATCAAGCAGCTACAACACTCTGGACAAACAGTGTGAGACAGATAAAGAACAACAACAACAACAAAAAAAAACAGTGAAAAACCAGACAGGAGCCATCAGCCTCCTGCTGGGACTCCTTCCGTCTAGCTCCTGTTATGGGCTCTGCTGGCTTGTCCCAGCCTTGTTTGTAGCAAACACTCAGTTCAGAAGTAGAGTCAGTGGGAATTAATCAACAGGAAGAGCCAACAGAGCAATCAGGGCACCCTGGTCTCTAACTCCAGAGTCCACCCTTTGCAGCCAATCAAAAGGAAACGTGACAAGGACAGATTCAGAAAACTGGGCAATTTCTACAAATCTCTTTTAACCTCTTGCAGAGTCAGAATGGCGTGATTTGAAACTGTGCAGTGCTGTCTGACTACTAATACACATTATGTTTCTTTGGTCAAATTAAAAGATGAGCACGAGAAGAGCGAACCCCGAGCATCATCGATCCGACCTGGACCAAAGGCCTAAGTCATGAATAATTGAACAGCAGGATTTCTTTAGTGGAAATGATTGTTTAACAAGGCGTAGGAGGGTTTGTTACTGCTCACCTGTGATGATCAGACATTCATTATGATCCAGGGCTTCGGTGAAGAGACGAGAAACAATTAGCTCCGGGTTAATAAGAAAACGGATTTCCTCTTGAACCAGACCGGAGCTGGTGACCCCTCCCCCGACAAACTGATTGGCGAAATCCACCTGCAAATCAAGACGGATGGTTGATGAATATGGAACACCTGTGCTCTTGTAGCATCAATTGATTTTTTTTTAAATGCACATATTCTTATAAAGCCAAACAATGTATTTAAATAACATTTTCTCAGATGCTGAAATGTGCAGCCCCCTAAACTTGGACAACAGGAGGAAAACACCTCATGAAATGATCTCCGCCCTTTTTCTTTTATTTGTGACAGAATCCCTGACAAGCTGATTGGGAAGGTAGCCTGAGGTGCTGGCATTACTCAGACATTTGTCCCCCATGCCAAAATGAGCTCTCCCCACAAGCAGCATGTAGGTGTGCGGCTGCCAGCAGCAAATATCAAATCAAAAGAGAAGTCCTGCAGTCCGAAGTAAACATCTTCCTCCAGTCATAACATGCTGCTGAATTGATTTTCTTTCTATTTCGGTCTTTTTACAATTCAAAAGAAAATACACATCTCATTGTTTCAGCTCAGACAGACACAGGTAGAAAAGCAGCCATGTGGAACATATAATCGTACAATTTCAGGACTGACAGTTGTTGCTCATTGGCCTGTAGACAGCCCAGACCAAACCCCTCGCAACCCCCGGAAGAAGCTGCAAAAGGGCGAGCAGCAGCCTGAGAGCAGATCTCCCCAAACTGGTCACTCAACTCTGGGACAGCGAGCCAGCCTCCAAAGTCTGCTTTGACAAGCTGTCAGCGCCCCACCACCGCCCCCCCGCCGCAGCAGAGCATCCATCAATCGGAGCTGCGGCGTGCCCCGGAGCTGGTCATGTGTGCACATCAACTGTCAGTTTGTGGCAAGCGGAGGCAAACAAAAGGTGAAAGCCAGAGCGGGCCGTCCTGACAGTGTACAGGAAGCATGGCCGACACAGAGAGCAGGGGGAGGCTCAGAGGCCTCGACCCCGGTCCCAGCACACTCTGCCTCCGACGTGTCACAGCCTCCCTCAAAGGCCTTTTCAGCAGTAGTAAGCATTCTGGGTGGAAGACTCCAGAACGAGGCGCCTCAGTGACTGACTACAACAGAAAGGGGGGGAGAAGGAAGGGAAGGGAAGGGAAAGCAAGCACAAGAAGGAACATCTTTCAAACTAACAGCTCCTCTGAGCAAAAGAAGACTCTGCAAATTAAAGCCCCTATAAAGCGCACCATCTTGTTATCGTTCCCACAGAAGGGAACAATACTCAAGGCTCCTCCTCTGCGTCTCACCTGAAGCATTCCATGACCATCATCCTCAATGGTCCCTTCACAAGTAATGTGGAGCTTTGAGAGCCGAGTCTGCGAGCTGAAACACAAAGATGGTTTTCCAGTTATCGACTGTGATTAAGATGATGAATCTTTGCTTGCTTCCAAACAGCCCGTTGGATTTAACGGAGTGCAAGACTTCTTGGAAGAAATAAACAACACACTTTTTCCTTCGACTATAATGAGAATGTTTTTTATTGAGTAAAAAATACCAGACCTTTTCCAGTTGAGCGGTTTATCCAACCCTTTGCGGGTGAATGTTACAAGTCCAGTAGGCTCTAAAAGACAAAAAGGTAAAATAAGTTTTGTATCTGCGTTACTTTTAATTTCTAGTTTAATCATGAAGAGAAAACCTGATCACCTACTTTGCTCAGTGACACTTTGAAAATACCACAACAGGGTTTTCAGCTTCTCAATCTTCCTTGAAGAGGATCCTTCAAACAGCCTGCAGGCAAAAAAAAAGATGAATTTCATTCAGTAATTGCTGGTATATGACATTTTATGCTAATTTCACAAAAATGAAAAGCTTCCTTTTTACACACGGCATCTCAGACAAGCACCAACTCTCACAATCAATAAAATATAAAACCAGGACCAGGAAAGATTGCACTCTGTATGAGCAGTGCTGTAAAGACACACAACCTCCACTTCAGCCATGTGAGTTCAGTCATGCTTTAACTTTTGATATGAATTAGTTCATCTCTCACTCAGCCTCCTTTTCAGTCACTATCCGATTATGTAGGAGCTCCTTCACTGTTACGACAACGGAGTTGCCCCGGGCCTGCCATCACAGAGCAACACTCATGTGCCACTTCACAGCACTCACACAAAAAAAAGGATGAGAGAAGGATACAGGGCTCCCTCTTTGGGGATACATTAAGAAGTCCTGTGTCCCTTTTAAGCAACAGAGTCCTCAGGAGGCAAAGGGTCAATCCCCCCTGGAACCTAACGCACACAATCACACACAAAGCTGCTTGCAGTCAGGTGCAGTGGATGGGTTTGAATGCACTTTGAGCATTAAGCCCACCATCGCCCTCTCAAGCAAACTCTGTAAAGAAGCCCACAGCCAGCCTCACATGCCACAACAAAAAAAAGGGAGAAATTTCATGTGAAGGAAACGAAATCATGACAAAAGCTTGATGCACTGAAAGCCCTTCAGGGGCTGAGAAAGTCATTCATCGAAGTCAACTCCAACATTCATTTCCTCTTTTTTTTTTTTGTCAGAGTGGCCCCTAGAAGCAATCATGCCTCTTGTAGTCCTCGGGGTGGGGAAACGTCTTTGACTAGTGAGAGTAGCCTTTTAGTAACAATACGGTCTTTAGGGAGCAGAGAATTAACACACAATTATATAACATCAAATGCCTCCTACAGATGTGCAGACTGCTTTGATGTAACTCAGAGAAGAAAAAAAAAGGCGTAGATGTAAATACACGAGGTTTCTGCATCATCAGCAAAACAAACGTTTCTTTTAAAAAATGAGAAAATTAGTCTGGAAACTCTGAGTTAACTGCACTTTAGGGAAAAATAATACAGAAGGCTGGCTGAAGAATACTTTGAATAGCAGAGCCAATGTTTTTAAAAAAACAGTTTTAATAGTCACTTTCATCTCAATGCAAATAAAAAGTCTGCGCTGAGATAAAAGAGCGTCCACAGATAATAAGCTTTTTATTTCCTATATCCATTCTGTGAGTCTTATCGGGAAATAAAAATGAGTTTGGACCCAACACATCTTCTTCCCAAAAATAATAAAATAAAAATATATCCATGATTTTAAAAAGGAAAACCAAAGGTCAAAGCATTTACTATCTGGTGGTATGACCACTGGTGACATTTTTAGGGAGGAAACAAAAAGATGATATAATGGCTGTCCTTTGAAATTACAACAAAACCTTCATTTGAATGAAATTCTGATGAAACTGAACTCTTTTACTGCCTTCTGCAAAATAGCCGATGGCTTTCTGTATTGTCAAACGCAGCCATCTGAGTCAATGTTAATCTAATTTCCTCCTCCATTTAGGTAATTACAGAGTGATGCCAACAGAGATGGGGGACATGACTGAGCAGTGATTTGCAGACTGATTTTACATTACACCACCCAGACAATCTCCACAGGGAATGTATGCGGGGATTAAGGAGATACCGTGCTGCTTTGTCATATTCAATGCTTTTTGAAGTAAACGGGGTTGGATTTAACTAGAGATAAAGAAAGGTGTTCCGGTGAAGACCACAAGTGCAGGAGAAAGACGACACAACTGTGGCATTAATGCAAAATAAGTTAAGAAATGTTTAGCAGTTTAACAACGGCATGTACCTGCTCAGTTTGCCCTTTTCTCAATGAGTTGTACCTGGCGTTCTAAAGACATTCTGGTTTACAACTTATCCTGCAACTCTACTAATAAATTGAAACGCAAGGTTTTGGCAGGTTGAGCGGGCCTAAGACAAGACATTTACAGTGTAGATGTTATACGCTTCCACGTCCAGCCAGAAGATGAAATGATTAGCGAGAAAAGCATATACAGTAGTGCCCCCTCATGGAAACGGAGCTAGTTGTCACGGCAGCATAATTTACAACTCGATTATGTAACTTCAAACATCGTGAGTCACGGCTCCAGATTCCTCGATTACCTGAAAAAGTTGATGTCTGGGTAGTTGCAGTACTCAGTCCTTCTGGAGTTGCGTCGGGGGAAGGTGCAGAAGAAGGCGTTGGCGAGCAGACAGGCCACCTGCTCCTGAGACATGGTGATGGAGTGGTTCGTGCCTTCCTTGAGGAGGGGTATCGGCTGGAGGAGGAACAGAGGTACAGCTGAGGAAGGTCAAAATCATTTGTTTTGTCAATTTACCAAACAACTCATTGAAGTATGCCGCACAAATGTAATAATTTGCCGCCACTCTGTCCTTCTTGAATCAGCCGTTACAATTATAATCAAGGTCTATTCATGCTCATGCACACGGGACGTACTGTCGGGGTCGTGAGTTCGTAAACAAACGACGCAAAGCAATGCAGGGAGTCTGTCACGTTAATACTACAGGACAAGAGGGAAAAATGACTGTAGCTACAAGTTGCGTTGCTAAAATATTTGAAAATGGCCAGTTTAGGAACAACAATTCATTCAGTTTCCTTTAGTAAGAATCAATTATATTACCAACAGACATATTTGTGGACAGTTTTCTATCCTTTAAATAATAGAAAATTGTAATCTCCTTCAATATAACGAGTTACACAGATGATTAAATGCGACAGAGATCTTACAATGCAACACAAAACAGTATTTTCTACTCACACGTTGACGGCCAACAACACTGAGTTTACCACATGTGACCATGAATATCATTTATATGATGAATCTGTTTGGAAAATGTTTTTATTTGTTTTTGCTTGTTAAGTTAATCAAATCAGAAATAAAATTAACACAAGGAGCCAAATCAAAATGTATAATAAACTGCTGCTTGGCCAAACGAACACACAAAAACCTCATTAATGAGCCTTTTTCTGGCCACAGACACACATTGTTCTTCATCGTGTACACGCCGGCCATCCAGATGACCAAGAGGATGATAAAACATCTGACAAATGACCATCAATAGCTACGTGCCTTGACCTCACCGTTTTTACCACCATTTCACAAGATTATTTATCACGCCGTGACCTTTGGGATCAACCTGCGGGGCTGATCTACTATGTCACGGACCAGTGAGTCAGTGTCCGTTGGTTAGTGATGGGTGTTACCTTGGTGCAGAGCTCAGATGCTCTCAGTGCTAATTGCACCATGTCTGGCAGCAGGGAGTCAAACAGATGTTCGGCAGCATCAGGCTCCAGGACCTTGGAGAGAGCAAGAGATCTGTTTATGTTTGTTTATTTGCCACAAGACTCAGCTGTGACATTATTAGCTGTTTGAGCTGATTAGTTTGAGACAAACAGATAAAATTCACAGCTCTGATCCACACTAGAATGTTGGGACCTTATGTACAATTTGACAGGAAAACAAATGCTGCTGAAATATTGAAAATGCAGGATAATATTGTGCATGCAGATAGAAATAGCTGGTGAAAACTGATAGCCTGTGTGGCAGACTGTTCTCTCACTTTAGATATTTCAAAGGGAATGTGAAATAAATGGCTTAATATTATTAAAATACATCTGGCTTTCTGTTCATCTACAATAATATCAGCACAACCACACATTCATGTAACGCACCCACCAACCATGACCACACAACACTTAGGAATCCTAGAGACAACAGACATTATATACTACCCGTATTTACACCCATATTGGCTGCAAAATGTCAGAATGATCAATCACATTGCAATTTCATCAAGGTTGCACCGCCATGCCAACTGATTAAACAGTCTTCCTGGAAGAGATGCAAATGGCCGAGTGTTTGAAATAGAAAGGACAGTGTGTTCCCAGGACAAAGAGCCTTGACTGGTAATTTAGCCCGGGACATTTATATTATGGCAAAGGAAGCCTGACTAAACACTGTCATAAGTAATGACCTGGCTGACATCATAAACTGCTCCTACGGGCGTAATAAATGACGGCGGCTGACAGGGGGAGACAGTAGATATAGCTGAGGTAGTTTGAGGCGAGCTCTTTAAATCAGCGCAAGACAGTGCATCAAATCAGCTGAACTAACTCTCCGTATGACTTGATACGGGTCTGTACATCACACCCAAACTGACAAAGCCATTAAGCAGGATGCAGGGGCGTGAGCGGCTGAGAAGCCAGAGCTCCCGTACGGATTTAACACAACACCTCACACTCATGTTCCTATTCCCCACAGGTGCAGGCGGCGAAGCAATCTGCTTGACTGAGTCTGTGGACATGTGACCGTGTTAAAATAAAACACTTGTGTGCCCATGACTGTAAATACAGCAGCGGTTGAGCTGGTGAAAGAGAAATGAACAAAACCGATGCTGTCCGTCAGCAGCTATTCAGTTATTCATGAGCTATTCGTGGTGAGATGAATATTCAATGAAGGAGCCCGGCCCGTCACTCCATGCCATTCATGTTCACTTTTCTCTGACACTCGGCTTCAAACCGGCACGGGAGGAGCAACAGAGTAAAAAATGGGGTACATTACATCGCAGCGTTTGCCTTTTGGAAAACTGGAAGTCCATGAAAGCTGTCCTCTGCAATTGTTTTTATTTTTCCACATGAGACTATTTAATCAATATGTTAAAGCTACTGGTGTCTGCTTCCCCTTCAGCATATCAGACCAATAAAACAGCTTTGTGACACAGGAAAGCTCCGAGTAGCTTCTGCAAGGCACAGATGCAATAAAAGTTCGATACGAGGCGCCGCGTACGTGTGTCAACTCTGCAACGACATAAATGAAGCAAACGTATTTTGTCTGAGCAACAGTGACATTTACGCAGCTGTAAAAAGTTGTCCAACATGACACCCAATTACAGCGGATTTTTACAATTTAACAGTCAAATACACACACGGTGCTCTCACAGAGCAACCAATCATGGGCGATACTGACATCCCATCTTCGCTTTAATCAGCAAAACAGTGATTGATGAAACGCCGTTATCCACAATTTATTCGGCATCTCACTTCAACTCTATTTTAACATTTCCAGCAAACAATCCAAAACCAGCTGCAGCCACAAAATTGTGCCTTTGGCTAAAGTCTCTCAGCATATTGAGATTTGCAGGTTTTCCTTTTATAACATAATTTATGAAATATACACAGCACACTATCGATGTGACAGTAGGAAGCCGGGGTAAAGCATTCTTTAGATGTAATTTCAGCCATTTTCCTTCCTGACAAGTTACTAAATGTGACCTTTTGGCAAAAAGATTAAATTATTTCTCCAGACAACCACTTTGCCTGTACAGGGCTGCGACATTCTCCCCCACTGTAAAATCCATTACTGTTCTTCTGCAAAATGACAGAAACACATATGGCATACTGACATTCATGAAAAAGACCTTACATGTATTTTTTTTTTTTCCACGTGAAATGCGAGATATCATCAAAACATGTCGCTGGTGTATTCTAGATGCCACGAAGTACAGGGCGGGCGAGCTCTCCCTTACCACAAAAGAAAATAAAGTCTATTACTTGTCTAGTCCTACAGGCTCTGCACCTCTTATATCAAACACTCGTGTCAAAACACAGCCATCTCTCCAAATGGAATATCCCCATCCCCTTCACCAGCCAGACAATAGTACAGCCCTCTCTGATTCTGTACACAGGATGACGCAGAATGCATTAAGACAACAGATGATGGATGGCCTCCAAACAAGGCCGGAGAAGACGCCGACAACTCTGAGCAACGACCGATGAACCAGCAGTGCTCTGACTATCATGAGACGACTTGGGCTTACTTTAGTCTTGGATTCATTAAATTCATGAGCTAGCGACATTTAAAAAAACACCTTAAAACATGCACAAATTAATCACATTCTATACAGAACAAGCCTTTTCCAAGAATCTACGTCCTACACAACTTTCCTCCAGCAGCCCATGTATTTATGATGGCATGAAAAGCTACGTGAAGCGTTTGAAAGTACTTCTGCTTAAAAATGTGGTCTGATGTTTATCTAAGTCACGGCTATAGCGAAACAATTAGAAGCTTTTATGTCTTTATTACACACACCCAGTGATCAAACATTCCTAGAGTTGGTGGAAAGTCAACGCTAATAACTGGTCAAACCTCTCTTGCTAACAGAAGCCACAAACAAGTGTTTCCAGTAGGTGCGGATTTAGGACCATTCTTCTTTACAAAACTGCTTCAGCTCTGCACTAAAAATATTGCTTCAGAAAATCACGATCACTCTTCACGACAGGCCCGTGTTACTGGAGGAAATATAGGAATTTGTTTTTTCAAGCAGGAGAGAAATAAAGACAAGAAAAATGGCTGCACAGGTGCGGCAATTACTTCCTGCATATGGAGCTATGAAGTTAACAGTTGTGTCGACTCACAACTCCATCCAATACTGTTTATATAGCGTGCTAATGAGGAGCAGCAACACTAGCTGACAGTACCTTCTGCTTGGCAATTAAACGCCATGATTGGACAGCTGATGTTTCATTAGTCTACAGCTACTCCTTTGACATATTCAACATGTGTGCTCCTCTGTGTTTACATGCCTGCATGCCAGTAATAATTCAACAACACCGCCAGGGACGATTTTTTTTTTTCAACAAAACAAACTTCATTCACTATGTCTGGGATCATTAGGCTCCACAAAAACTAATCAGTAATCATAACAGATTAACAGATAAATTGTTTACCTTAGTGCAGTACAAATGCAATGCTGTGAAGTCCCATTTCTTTGCATGTGAGGCGCTGTATTTTAATACTGCATTCTGTAACACACACAAAAAAAATTCATAAGTTACAGCTACAAGCAAAGTTAATATGAATCACCATTTAAGTCACAATACCTAATCTGTGTGCATAAAAAACAACCAATTGTCCAAATATCTATGTTATAAGACAGTGTGCCTCTCAGTTTATGGGCCCATGATGCCATCTTCTGGCTGAATCTGGTAACAACAGCTACAGACAGTGGTGTCACATCCTCTGCACTCAAAAACGTGTTGTGGTTGTTGTTAATCCTTTTGGATCTTTAATTTTCATTTTTTCTACAAATCTTCTGACAGGGAAATGTTTAATTATGTCAAAAAAAAGTTATTATTCAAAGAAGAGTGTTTTTTTTTCTCCAAACATGCCTGAGGCTTTGCCAATAAGAGCATGAAGATGCAATACTTGCCTTTAACTCAAGAGGATTTGTAAACTGCGTGTTTAAAGTTTCTTTGATCAGCTCCCATCGACTCTTATTCTTCAGCTCTCGTGTTTCCTGTGGAAGCAAAACTTTGGTTAGAATTCTGCTGGATGACTTCAGTTCAGCTTTTAATGTGCAAAAAATAATAATACTGTGTTGTTTCGCACTTTTTTTTTTGCAATTGTACGTCATCACAATGGTGCTATGCACAAACACAGACATAAAAAATGAACTTCTCAGTGGCGTGCTTAAAATAAGTAACATTTTGAAATTATAAATCATCCTAACATGCTACTTGACTGTATCTGCTTTATCTGTCTTCAGTCAGCTGTGCAGCATGATGGCACTATTCACATGATCCATATTTAACTACAATCATTTTTTATACCGACAATAGTCGGGTGTATAAACACTTGATCAGGTACCTCATCTTGCACAGGAAACAAGTTACTGCTGGAACACGGCATCTTGACGTGGACATCATCCCAGGTATCCCTAAACATGGTAGGATGTGGAACGGGAACTTTACCCTTCTGAAGAAGGTCTGTCTATGAATAGGAAGATAAAATATGGTATTAGTACATGTGATACCAAAAATACAAATCTGTCGAATAGTCAGCTGACATATTAAATATTGTTTATTAACATGTTGCCCTTACATGCATAAAAATTATTCTGAAAACCATCACAAAAGACATTATTTCATAGAAAAACAATTGCTGTGATAAAGTTCAGAAACATTAGATTACATGCGTCTAAAGCTTTCCCTTTTCTTTGTGATTCCATCTCATTTCAAATTGGCATTAAAATATTGGATTCACACATGGGAAAATACTACTGTAAACAAAGTCCTAATACTGCATACATCTCAGTGCATTGATGTAAGTCTAAGACGATCAGGAAACAGTCCGAGTGCAGTGATAGTATCCTGTTAAAACATTAGGCCTTCATCTGAACAACACAAAGAAGTGCTAAAACTTTGTGTGAATCTGACACAAACTACTCTTAAAAATATTATATGAAGGTGTTCATTTAGTCCTTTACAAGACTATGAATTGATTGAAACGAACACTGTGCTGTGATTTGTACACAGAGGACAGAACAGCTCTAACCCTTATCATCACAGTGTGCTGTCCAGGAACATCCTTCAGCCGAGGAAGCGGTGCACCACATTCAGGCATTCTCTTCAGCTCGCTGATTGGCGTGCCCAGCCATTTGACATCACTGGAGGCAGCTGTCTTGTCTGGATCTTGTTTCTGTGGAAACCTGTTTGATTTGCCTCGTCTAAAAGGCAACGCTGGTGATGGCATCCCTGAAAAGAAGTCTGTTATTTTTGCACTGTGTTTGACGGAGCCTTTTGAGCTTTCTGGGTATGTTTCCGTTTCTTGTTTTTCTGATCCACTCTCATTACGGGACGATGTCTGCGTAGGCTCGCTCCCTGCTGAATCCTGGGAAGCTGGTGACACAGGATAGTCTGGATCCAGGTCTTGTGGTGTCAAGGGTTGGGTTTCTTCATCTGTGTCAGAGACAGGAGGGTGCTCAGCAATTTTGCAATCTGCAGACTGAGCTGAGGTGCTTTGAACGCCACCAGCGTCAGTCATTTCTACATCCTCTTGGATTTGGCACACGTCAGCTGTACTTGGGTTTTTTGCCGGCTTAACCAACCACCGTTCAAGAGAATATTTGGGCTGTTCTTGCTTTCTGGGACCAGTTCTTTGAAGGGAGCCTTTTATCTTTACACGTCCCAAGCCCTCTTCTCTAGGCTTTGGCTGTGCATCCATCTTTGCTTCTGTTTTGTTTTCCCTTCGTCCTTGATCGACAGTCTCATCACCTGTGCTCTGACTGCATTGAGATGGACCTGAAAAACAATATATATATTAATGGGGATATAAAATGTGAAGCCAAAAACTTGCCATGTACTCCAAATAGACACTTTACCTTCGTGCGAGGATGAGGATGAAGTTGGGGCATTTGATTCAACCTTTAGCCTCTTTGCTAAAGGTTCTAAATCTGTCAGTGCAGACATGCTATGAAAAGAAGAAAGCAACACATTAGACGAGTCCACTGACAGCATAACAGAGGGGCAATTAAACAACTACAAAAAGAGCAGTATATGTGCACTCACAGTACAACTTGAGCAGAAACCACGAATGAGGTGTTACTTGTCCAGACCTGATTCTTAGGCAGTCGTCTATTCAGTCGGTAAACAATTCTTAAAATCCGGCACGCAGCCATACATGAGTCACTACTTCACGGAAGCGCATACCAGTGCTTTGGAAAACAATCCCCAGTTTGGACAAGTGAATGATTAACCAGCGTTACACAAACAATACGCGTTTACTGAGTACGTAGTGCAGGAAAATGGCTGTTTGGCTATCAAATTACTCAGCCGTTTGTCTTAAGTCGCAGTTAGTAATCAAAGTTTTGACAGAGCATCTACCTTCCAACAACTTATTCAGCTAGAGCCCATTGGCTAGCTTACATGCTAACTAGCTTTGGGCTACACCGGCTCGTTAAAACAAACGAGAAGGTTTTTAAAAAGCGTTGCACACTTGAGCGGGTATTGTTGAGAGTGACAACTGTCTGTTAGAAAAAGGACAAACAAAAAGTGCTAAAAGAACATTTGTTGCTTGTCTGTTATTGTCAAAATCGTACTTTTGTTTTTACTGTCACTGGAGCGTTGCTACAATTCATCTGCGCCGTTGTCTGACGCCAAAACACTTCCGCATGCGAGTGACGTCGTAGCCACTGAAATAACGCGATATCTCCAAAATCAATTTTCAACGTTTGTCATTGATTATTGTGAAAAGTATTTTGGGTGTAAATATGCAGAAAGTCTGATTCAAAAGCTGTCGACTAAATGCAAAACTAAAAAAAAAAAACCAGACACACACAAAATGTTGTTTTTTTAATATATGTTTTTTTTTTATTTACAACCCAAATTAATGCAGAAAAGACAAATGGTCAGTTGGGGCATTTACCGCTAAAGCAAATGTAGTTCAAACATCTGTTGACACTTATAGTCTAGCTTGTAGTTTTTAAAGCCCTCTGATGAATGTCCGTGTTGTAAATGCACCATTGTTCTCTGAGGTGAGTTCACCTGTCTCAAGACACGCCCATCGTGACGTACCTGACCACGAGAAGGAAGCAAGGAGGCAGACGCGAACATTGACTTCATTTGGTTTTTAATTGACTTCCCGTATTCCTAATGGGGACATAAGCTCGGCACTTTAACCAGGATCATGGTCAGAAAATACATCCTATTCGCTGTTTTCTTGCAGTGTTCTGTTTCTGGGATTGACAACAAAGGTGAGGCACACTGAGTCCTTGTTTGGTCTGTCGATGGAGCAGAAAAAAATACCTCGGTTTTCCTATTGAGTGCACAAGCCAACAGCAATGGCTGGGCATTTAGGAGTTTTGTTTAAAACTTGTAGTGCTGCTTAAGTATCCACAAAAGAGCTTGTATCCTTCACTGGGTTTTTGTTTTAAAGGGAAAAAAGTTATCCTGAGAATGAAGCAAAGAGGCATGAATGTTGCTCAATTTTGGTTGTGTGCTTGATTTATTTGTGTCCTGAGCAGAGGATTTCTAATTTCTCCTTGTTTTCACCTTTCTTCCAGACATTTTCAATGGGTTTGCATCAAAACTTTCCAAGTACTCCGTTGTAAATCCTCAGTTGATTCATAGACATACAAGGAGCATCAACAGCCCACCACAATCAGACGAGGTAGAAACCTGATTCGAGTGTCTTTTACGCCGATTATTCACTACGACAGCATTTAACAGTGCTTTCTTGTTGTGTTTAGCAGCAGGAGGATGAGACAGTGTTGTATGCACTCAACTTTAACAACAGAAAACACGTCCTTCATCTAAAAAGGAACAGGTATGTGCAGAGGTACATCATACTGACGTTATTCTGTGTCCTTGTTTATGCTGCAGATGAAATGTCAGATGTGTTTTGTTTTCTCTTATTTTCAGAGACTTCTTGCACCCCAACTTTGTTCAGTTTTCACGTGATGCGGCTGGTGGCTACAACTCGTCATATCCGAGACCGCATGTACGTAGAAGGTTCCTTATTCTGATTTTCAAGGCTGGTTTGAGCATTAAACCTCACACCTGTTTTTACTTCTCTATTTCCAGGTGCACTGCTATTACCATGGAGAGGTGGAAGGATATGAGGATTCAGTGGTAGCACTCAGCACCTGCTCTGGCCTCAGGTGTGAACATTTCTCTTTCAAACCAGTTAGATTAGGCGGAGGCTGGTTTCTATTTTGAGTGACAAGAGGAAGTAAAGCAGGGCTTTAATTCAGTTTTACATCTGTTGGCTTATGTGTTTATCTAATCTGTTGTTTAACCCAGTTCATCACATGTAGAATTAATCAGGCAGTTTTTTAAATGACAGTTTGCACCCATCTGCCATATTGGTATATATTATATCAATATAAGAGCAGTAGGGGATATTCTTATAAGATGCAATACTGAGTTCAGATGCTTTTTCATGAGTAAGTGTATTGAATGAAGATGTGTTGTCAGTCACACTTTAACAAATTGAGCTTAATCTCTTTGTTCCTCAGCACGTTATGCCGCACCACAGGTTTGCAGCGCCACACCCCTGCTCTGATCTAAAGCATTTATCTATTCATGTACCTGCTAACTCTCTGCTTCCCTGCAGGGGTGTGATCATCCTTGGAAATGAGACGTTCGGACTTGAGCCTGCGCCACAGTCTGCCACTAATGAGCATCTTCTGTACCTGCTGAAGGACATTCAGTCCGAGCCCGTCACCTGCGGGGTCGTCGGTGAGGCCGAGTCGACGCCGAGCCACGACCCCTTTGAGCCCGGCCAGTCGCTGACTTCACTGCTGCGGGTTAGAGTTCTCTCTGTGTTCATGTGTTTTTACCACATAAACAGGGTTTACAATGAAAAGTGGATGCAGCTCTAAGCAGCTGTTTCTATCATTTGTTTTAACAGAAGAAGCGAAACTTACCACAAACCAGCTATGTGGAGTTGGTGCTGGTTGTCGATAATCTCAGGGTGAGTGTGTTTGTCTGTTCAGCCCTGATTCATCAGCCATGAAATAGTAATAATAATAAAAAACACTCCTTTATTCTCAACATTATTTTGTTAATTTTGTTAACAGTATAATTTTAAACAACAAAATGAGACGGCGGTGCGGGAGGAGATAGTGGAGATGGCTAACCTGCTGGATGGGGTGAGATTTTACAGATGTTTGCAGATGAAAATGCACTAAATTCTAATGGCATCAAATGTGCTCCTGTGTTTTACGATGCTCTGCTTTTGCTTTCATTCTAGTACTACAAGCAGCTGAATATCCGCATTGTGTTAGTGGGCCTGGAGATTTTTAAGAACAGCAACCCCTTCAGTGTGGACGGCTCTGCAGGGGAGGTGTTGGGGAGGTTTGTTCGGTGGAGGAAGGCGGAACTGATACCAAGACTCAAACATGACATCGGTCAGCTCATTGTGTAAGTAATGAGCGGTCTCTGTCGTTTTGTTTGTGTGACTTTAAATTGCAATGCTTGATGGAAACCCCAAAGTCTGACATGTAGAGCACAATTTGCGACTTGTCTCTCCGTCTGCAGCGGTCAGCCCCGGGCGTACCCAGGAGGTGTGTTGGGCATGGCCTTCGTGGGAACGGTCTGCTCCGTAGCGAATGGTGGCGGGATCAACGTGGTTAGTTTCACTGTCATTTAACTTCTAACAGCAGCTGACACTGTGGTGCTCTGGCAGCGTGAGCTTTTGCATAGAAACTGATACCGTCTCCATTATTCATGGCACGTTGGGTGAGGGTAGCTCACAGACTCTGAAAACCAGCCTTCTAGAACTGGTTATACTTGAATGCAGTCCTGCCCCATGACATGACACTTTTATTTTTATTATTAGATTCCTTGAATTTTTTTGCGCTGTGATGACTCGGCGTGATTTTAATATCCTTTAAAGTGACGCTCAAAGGGATCAAAATGAGCTTTGGATCACTTAAAGGTATCACATAGCGGTTTGTTATATAATTTATGTTAAGAAACGAGATGAACACTTAACTTGCTCACAGGTTAATATTATTTTTAAGTGTTATTATACATGTGCACAAAAAAATCCAATCAGTTAATATCATTGAGCTTCCTTTTTGTCGTCTCAGTGGGTAAAAATGTTGGTTATGAACCTTAAATCTAAATAGATTACATGTTTAAAAGATTCTTTCATGCACAGTTTCTTCTGTGAGTCCTTGAAAAACAGACAAAGCTCTTTTCCATTTGTTCTATATTATTGATTGATCACTTTAATTTCCAAGTCGGGCACTAAATGTATCCAATGTGTGTTTTTTGCAGTACAGCGACAACTCCTTGGCTTTTATCTCCACTGTGGTGGCCCATGAGATGGGCCACAACCTGGGCATGAATCACGATAATTCTCGCTGCACTTGCAATGGAAGCAGCTGCATCATGGGAGCAAGTGCTACGTAATGCATTTTCCACAACTCGTGTCTCCATGTCTTGATCATATAATCGTGTTTCCTTTCTTTATTTCTCCCCGTCTTGCTTAACGTTTGTTAATTTGAGGCCTGTCCGAATGGATGTTTCCATTAATGCTCTTATCTCGTCACCGCGCAGTGGTTCCACCTTATTCAGCCGATGCAGCGCACAAGACTTCGAGGGTCTGGTTGTCCGTGGAGGAGGCGTGTGTCTGAGAAATCAGCCCTCCGAGTCGGATGTGGTCGGCGTCGCTGAGTGTGGCAATGGCCGCCTGGAGGGAAGAGAGCAGTGTGACTGTGGCACACCAGAGGTAGAGTGCCACACATAGGAAATAACAGAACTTCATCTTCATCGCATTAGTCTTTCCAATACACTTGATGATAGTTTTTACAGCTTTCATGGGAATAAATGATGCTTATATGGAGGCATAGCAGATATGACAATTGATAAACACTGTACAGATATCTACCAATAATGTCATTGTGGTTTATTTTAATTTTAGAAATGTGCAATCCCTAAGGTTGATACCATTTGCAAATGAATGACGCTAAGAATTAAAATCTGTGTTTATAAATCAAGAACAAGTATTTGGCACACATGTGATGCATTTTACAGATTAGAGTGCACATGCCGTAGTATCCCTGTTGTTTTTAGTGTGATGCTAAGCAGAGTTTGTCCTTCTTTGGTCTCTTACAGGAATGCACTAATCAATGCTGCGATGCTGCCACGTGTACGTTTACACGCGGGTCCGCTTGTGCTCAGGGAGAATGCTGCAGCAACTGTCAGGTCCGTGACGTGTCGGACTCTAGCTGGACTCACACAGCCTGTGACGGCGCTAAACAGAGGCGATAAACTGTGCTTTGGAAAGCGTTCTGAGATGTGTTTTCGTTTTAGATCCTGGTTTCTGGAACGCCGTGCAGGGAGTCTGTCAACACCTGTGACCTTCCTGAATTCTGTGATGGCAACAATGCATCTTGTCCCAACGACTTCTACGTCATGGACGGCCTGCCCTGTGAAGACAATGCTGCGTACTGCTACGAAGGCCGCTGCCAGACATACGACTTCCAGTGCAGACATCTGTTCGAATCAGGTACGTTCAGTGATAGTGACTGATACAAGGATTTTGGTAGTTACATTTTTAATCCTTTTGGACAATTATCTTTATGAGTTACCACTGAAATGTATTAACTGGTAAATCTGTTTTTGTGATAGTCTATGGATAATGTAAAGTACATTGGCTGAAGGAGGCAGCGATCATCTGGAAAGATGTTGATCAAATTCAGTCCTCTCTGCTTGGAAGAGCAGGAAAATAGGAATGTATTATATTGCATGTTAGCATGTTTGCTGTAGATGGAAGGCCTTGTTTGGTTTAGTCATGAAGAAGACCTTCAAAAAAGAAAAACAATCCCCAGCTAAGCAGTATTTTGACTTGTTAGTGTTTATTGTCTGTGTCCTCTATGTCGTCACTGTCACTCTAACAAAATGTCACCAAACTGCAGACAGACTCATCTTTAGAGAAGAGAGAATCTTCTCATAAGACTGTATTCTGCTGCCTTATCCCTTTTCCCCCCATTTCTTGCAGATTCTTTACTTTTTTTAGTTTATTTTGATCCTCTAAGAAGCAGGAGGAAGCTTTCCTCAGACAGAAACATGTGACGCTTGTACATAGCAGATGTAAAATTGTCCTTTCAATCTTAGTATTAGACCAGTGTTGATTATTTTTTTAGGTTTCGTCTTATTTCTGCATCTGATGTTTCTACAGACACTTTGAACAATGATGCTTCAGCATTAGAACAAAAACATTTCACAGTTTTACAGCTTAGTGTACGCAAACTACTCCCAAACGTATTAACAGCGATCCTCATTTCCTTGTAGATATGACTTCATTCCATTTACTGGGATCACAGTTGGGGTTTTTTTTTTACAGACAAGGAAGTGATGCTCAGCAGCAGTCACTTTAAGCTGAACTTACACGTGTTTCTTCTTCTTCTTCTCCTTCCCCTTTTGTTTTGAATCTCATTATTCATTTGCTTGGCAGGAACACTTAACCAAGGAATCCATGAGATTTGTTTCTTTTGTCATTAACATTTTCCCTTGGATGTTATTTTTGCTTCTCTGCAGACGCTGCAAGAAAGGCAGCAGACATTTGTTTTTCACATGCGAATACCATAGGAGACAAATTTGGGAACTGTGGAATCACCAGCTCAGGAGCCTTCATCAAATGCACTGTAGCGTAAGTACTTCAGTTTAAAGTTTGTGGTCAACAATCATTAGATGATTTAATTATGGATTTTATATAATTATTATTTATGTAGTTATTGGAAATATAACATGAAGACATTTATTCATGTATAAAAGCCACTTGTTGAAAATATTTGAGGCTAAATTAAGGTTTCAAAAACTCCATCCTCCACACATAAAGTAGATTTAATCCGCGAATGTAGCTACAAATGTAAAATGTCATTTAATGTCCAAGATCATCTGATTAAGCGACGAAGTTCGATCACAGCTTTGTGACACATTTACTGTATAATTCATAAGATGGTCATTTTCAACAAGGTGACATGATGCAACTTTTGCATGTCAGCTAAAGGATAGATTAGCTTTTTGTCTTTCAGCATTTAACTCTCTAACAGCTGTGGGAACTGACTGTGTTTTTTTGAACGTGTGCCACAGAAATTCCATGTGTGGGAAGGTGCAGTGCACCAATGTGGACGTGCAGAAACCTCCCGAAGGCGCCATAATCAGCATCCAAATGGTTGATGGGTCAAGTTGTGTCAACGCAGACTTTAACCTCGGCACAGATGTGCTTGATCCTGCCTACGTCAACCCCGGCAGCCCTTGTGACAAAGGAAAGGTGAGCAGACTGACGGAGGGAAACTATTTTAAAAAGTGTCCATGCCAAAGAGAAGGAATGTAACCAGGAACTAATGAGATTTAATTTGTCCCAATGCTGTGCTGCCACGTGAAAATGGAAAAAGTGACTCACTGCATCAACAAGTTGTGTTTTCTCCTTTAGACCTGTCTGGACTTTACGTGTGTGAACGCTTCGGCTCTACTGCCCAACTTGGATTGTGATGCTCGGACCACTTGCAACAGCCGAGGGGTAAAACTGCATTTATTCCCTCCCCTCAGTTACCAGCCAAAAAGGACACGTCTGACTTTCCTGTTTCAATGTTTCCTTCAGGTATGTAATGACCAAGGCCACTGCCACTGTGACAATGGATGGGGCCCACCCAACTGCAACGTACCGGGCCGAGGTGGCAGCATAGACAGTGGTCCTGCTCAGATAGGTAGGCTTATGTTGATCCTGCTGATTTCATTTTCAAACTGAAGTGCACATGAAGTCATTTTCCAGCGCTGATTGGAGAAACATTTACAATTTAGAATTTTTTCAAATGCATCCAACTGTGCGGTAATGAAATACCAGACTGTAGAGCTTACAGTAGCCGTTTATCAGAGCTGCTTCGTATTACTCATGTATTAATCATTCTGTCATCTGCCAGCCATGACTGCGGTAGTTTGTGTTGTTGTAGCGTCTGCATGAGAATGGTCTTAGATCATTCTGACCATGCTGACAACCTGTGCTCGTCTACTGCATGTTATCAGAAACAATGGTTCGCTGTTAATTGTCTTCTCAAGCAAAAGTGTTCCCAGCTACAGGGAGCCTGTTATTTTAGGTCCGACAGTACCACCAGCTTTATAGAAAACATCTCCAGTCGTCCTTTCAGCATCCTTTCACCAGTTCTGATGTACTTGTGCATGTCATGTTGTATTGTAATGCCTCTACGTTTAAATATCCACGCATATCATCCTTTGCCTCAGACTACTCCCTTAGAAACGGCCTGTTGATCTTCTTCCTGTTGGTGGTTCCTGTTCTGGTCCTTGTCACTCTGGTGCTGCTCTACATCTTCAGGAGAGAGTCCCTGGATCCTTGCCTAAAGCGACGAAGCCTTAAGTAAACATCGGCTCACATTTTTTAAAAAAAACAAAAAAAAAAACATATAAAAAGATACTAAAAAGGATGTCACATATGAATATATTAAAAAAAAAGAAGGTGAATTTTGCATTTTCAGGTCACGTAATGCTCGACATGAAAATACAGAGTCAAACCGCAACGCTCAAGCAAACGTCACGACCCAGCCTCCAGTACGAGTCCCTCCTGACAGGGTAAATAAGCTTTTCTTAATAACCACCGCTGCATGGAAAGCAGTGAATTTGTTGAGATTTTCATTTGAAAATGCATTCCCAAAATACGGAAAGATGTACATCGATAATAATAATGATTAAAAAAAAAAGTTAAGCACGTGTTTCGCTTTCAGTTTGTCTTTAAAGAATGGCTGATTGTCGGTTGTTCTTCCTTTTTTTAATTCTAGCCTGGAAATCCACCAGCTACCTCAGCTCCAAGTTCTGAGTATGAACTGACTTTAACATCACTCAATAAATATTTCCCTTATACACAGATTTAAACTGAAACTTTAATTTGACAAGAAAACAGTGTGGTGTTGTTTTTTTTTTTTTTGACTGAATCTAACCAAAACCTGTCAGTTTCAGGTACGGAGAACTGGACTACTGGAATATGGACACCAGCAATGCCCCTGCACAATCAGCAGCTCCTACGCAAGGCCCCGGAGTGCCCAGACCAATCCCTCCAAAACACACACCAGCCTAATCCTCCTCTCTTTATGTGGCATATTTATAGTCGTATGGTGAATGAGACAACAGTTCAACGCTGTATTAACAGACAATTCTAAAACACTGTGATGATTACTGATGGTAACCTGCTACCTGCATCCTCTGGAAGCTTGATTGTGGTATTGTTGGTGGTGGAAGAGGCTGGTAAATATTTAATGGAAGATGTGTTTTATTAGGTAATTGTTTGTCACTCTTAAGAAAAGAAAATCTTTTGTATCCTTATGCTATTATGTTTTTTCAATGTATTTTAAATGTTTTGCAAATGTTGATGCTGTGGATGTTAATTGTAATAAAAAATATCAAATTGTACTTTATGTAAAAGTATGCCTTTCTTGCCCTTTTCTTATTCTTTGAGTGTCGTGATAATACATAATTAACATTTATTCAAGGAAATGCTTCAGGAGGCGGCTTTGCTTTTCACTTTGTGATTCAGCTGTTCAAAGAATCAGGGAAACGTGCCTCAAGAGAAATGTTCCCATCCCTCTTGTTACTTGTCCTGTTTGGGCAGTTAAGACATTTGCATTTGTAAATGTCTCACAGCTCTCCCAGAGTAAAGGAGGAATGTCTTTAACCACCGTCCATATCCGTGGGTGTTGATAATCTGCAGCTCGTGTGAGCTGAGTAAACCAAAGAAAGCCAAAACCAAAGAAGGTTTAAAAAAAATGTTTAGAACCCTTTCAGTCTGTGATTTTTGAAAATAAATGTCCACCTAATATCCCTCAAGATATTGTGATTATGTTTTATTGTTTTAATTTCAAGGGTTTTTTTTCAGAGTTAAAGTGGCGAAAGTTTTACAAATCTACAATAAAACAACATCCCAGATGTTAATCCCAGGAGCTTCAGCAGAAGGCAGCTGGATTTATCTGTTTTGACGCAAGAGTCCTACTGAAGCTCTGAGAATCAATACGACCTCGATGACTGAGAATCTGCATAAACATAATGAACACTAGCTTGTGTAATTTTTTGACTGTGCAGACCTTATCTGTAGGACTCCAGGTTTACGATCTGTGTTAGATAATGCCTCTTTATGTCACATATCTTCTAGTTTAGTGAAACACCGTGGACTGTCGTGGCACTGCTACCATATTTGCCCGACCTGAATCTGTTATCTTCAAACATTTATTCAGTTTACAAGACTCTACACTCTATAAAGTAATTCAGGTGACCTATTTTCTCCACTTACGTAGATTTATGATCACAAGATAAACATTGTAAATTACTGATATACTGTTTGAAACTTCTCAGGGTTTGGTTGACATGATAATAGCTGTAATTGCATCAATTTAATATTGTATGTGATGGGAACTCCAATTTGTTGTTTTTGTTTTTAAGATTTAAATATAGTGTATTTAAATACACCACTGTATTTCAAATTTTTAAAAAATAAATAAATAATCAGACAAAATTTTGTTGTTGAATGTTTTCCCTAAAAAATGGGGGAAATATTGGAGAATATCTAAGTAGAGCAATTTAATTTCTAATCATGAAGTAAGTTGTAATTAAAAATGTATTAGAGGAAAAGTTAATTGGTCTGGCTCAGTGCAGGTTGTTGGTTAAACGTAATTTCAGTAGAAGTTGTCATTATTTTAAATATATATGTCTGCAGCCTGTTAAGTTGCGCTATTTTTCTACACTGATTTTATTGATCGTGATGATCCTTGTCTTGTTTTTAAGCGTATTAGATTATGTGCTTTTTGCTTTGCTTCAATTTGCGGCATTTAATTTTGAAAGCAGGAAGTCACGTGTTTTACCCACGTGGTTCTGACGCGGCATAACGCGGAAGTCAGCTGTCAACACAACTGCAGAAACGCGGCAGAACAGCACAGCAGCTGAGTTTTACGGCGGCTCTCCGGTAGCTCATGGCAGCAGAGGAGGCCGGGAGTGTCGGCAGGGCTCCGGCTTGTGTGTGCGTCCTCTGCGGGCTGCCCGCCGCCGGGAAGTCCACCCTGGGCCGCAGCGTCCTCAGCGCCGCCGCACAGCGCGGATGGAGAGCCGCTGTGGTCCCGTACGATGATCTGATCCCCGAGCAGGCTTTCCGGACCAGAGTGGTGGAGGAGAGTGCCGAACTGCAAGAGATGGTAAAAACATCTGAGCTGAGCTTTTAACGCGGAGTTCAGAATCTGAGTTGCTCATTAATGTTGATCTGGTGACACCAACTACACACTTTGTAGACTGGAGCAGACTTTCCTTTATAGAGTAGCACTGAGCTTAAAGTAGTATTTGGAGTTTAATTATAAGGATCAACACATATTGTGAAAACACTTTGCATGAAAACCGTGTTTAGCATAACATATTTAAAGTAATTTGCAACAAACGTTTAGTAGGGAAAACAAATGTATATATGCATTATAAGAGCACACTGGAAGTCCTTTTCCCCTGTTTTGATTTTTGTACGATGTGCCTCTATGAAATATTTACTAAAGCCAAAGCAACAGTGGATTTTTGGGGCCGATTCTGGTTTTAGGGCGCAAGAAATTCTGATATGTGTATAGCAGCTGATGTTGTTGATGTCTGTGCTGTGAAAAGGCAAAGTGATGAGGTCATTGTTTTATTAACTTTCCTGCATGTAATTCACAAACTAGGTACAATTTACTATGAAAACATCATGTGACTCTCTGCCATCTTCTCCTCAGCTGTGATACTGAGAGAATTGTAAATGACTGAGTTGGAGCTGTTCGGCTGGACAAACTATGAGATGAGATTATTTATAAATAACCCCCCTTTTTCTGTATTATGTTCTATCAAAGAAAGTTTGGCGCATATAGGACAGCACAGATGCCAATAAATCAGTGATAATATCAGTCGTGTGATGTACCGGTTAAGCTTTATACTTCACATCACATTTGCATCATTACAGTGCTGTTTGTGCTGATGCTTCACTGATTGGAAAACTGTTTTTCCTCTCCAGCACACCGAATGGAAATCTCACAGACAAGCAGTGCTGCAGTGCTTAGAGCAGTTCTTGAAGAACTCTGAAGTGTTTGCGGAGCTACCGAGCAGCTCTCAGATCAACAGCGCCGCATGGGAACAATGCGTTAAAGCCCTGCGCCAGCCTCAAGGTTTGAAGTCCGCCGGGGCACCGCTTCTCTTTCTGCTGGATGACAACTTCTACTATCCAAGCATGAGATATGAGGTGTGCCAACTTGCAAGAAAGCGTAAGAACTCTCTGTCAACAGAATATCCCACCAACCAACATAAATGCTGTTTAAACGGCGGTTGAAAGGTGTCAGCTGTCGTTGCAGATTCGTTGGGTTTCTGCCAGGTGTGCCTGCAGTGTGACCTGGAGTCCTGCATCAGCAGAAACCAGAGCAGGTCTCAGCCCATTCCCACGGAGGTGATATTAGAGATGGTGAAACGTTTGGAGTTTCCAAATCCACAGAAGAACTCCTGGGAGATGAGCAGCATTTCACTCAACACCACAGACAATCTATCTGAAGCTGACATGTAAGACAACAGAAGAAGCAGCTATTAACAGTTACTGCTGAAGTTCACAGTGTGTAAAATCCTGTCGGTTTTTCTCCTGTGTGAATTATCCTCAGCCAGAGGGTGATGGAGTTGATCTCCTCTGCACTGAGTAACCCACTGAGCCCAGCTGAAGACAACACAGAACAAAGGGTGAGTCACACATGTCAAATCTGCAACACGTGGTAGAGGACTGTAGGCACCCAGCTGCAGAGGAGAGTTTTATTTCTGTTCCATACATGTTGCAGGAAGCCGACCGTCTGAAATGTGCCACCAGTGTTGTCCACCAGGCTGACCAGGCCTGTCGACGCCTCGTCTCTGAGGCCATGAAGACGGCCAGAGGTCAGCAGTGAGCTTCAGAAATGTTATACATTCAACTGTTGACATTTAAAATCAAGCATAACGAGCACTTTGCTGTCTTCATTTCAGAAAATCACGTCTCCTCTGAACACATGAGGTCACTGGCTGCTCAGCTGAACGAATCCAAAGCGACGTTTCTTCATGACCTGCGGAAACAGTTCCTGCAGGAAGTGCCTTTTGTTCAAGAAGAGGAGATCGACGTGGAACGAGTAGTGAAAAGAGCAGTGGACGTTTTTGACGACAAGAAAAAGGAAATCCTATCAAGAATCATAAATGACTACAGGTGACTTGATTTTTAACAAATCGTATCAAATATTGCATCAAACTGAATGCTCTGTGTGTAAATAAATGTTAAATGTACGTTTGCTGTACGTGTGTTTGTGATTTTGTAGACCACTGTGACACCAGGTAAACAAACTGCAAGTTAATTATTTTATTTCATATTGAAAAACTTGAAGGAAATGTTTTTAAAAAAAAAAAGAATTCTCCTCAAAATCCATTGGAAACACCTACATGACTTCTGCAAATGTAGCACTTAAATGTAAAGGGATATTTATTATTCTCAAATGAACATTTTCTGTCTGTCATAAGATAATAACATACAAACAAATTAACCGTCTTTAGACCAAGATTCTCACAAACCCAAAGCTACGAACGTTACTTCACATTACATGTAAAAGTATTAAAGTGTCTCAACATCAGCTACTACACAGACAGAAGGTGGCTACAGTGAATGTTGATTTTTGTACTACAAAGTGGTACATATGGTACCACAAAACTACTCATTACAATATATAAATATTGGGAATAAAAGTTAGTAAAACAATATGTGACTGTACCTAAAACATTGTTGAACGAGTTGGCGAACACATTATACAGTCTCTGAAATGAGGTATAAATTAAAAAAAAAAAAAGGCAAGATTTTAAGTGTCTGGATACAAACTTGAGTTTTGTACTGTGTATGAATATCCCCCAGATAATTTAACTTAAACTTTGGTGTATAATTAGACCAACAAGCAACATGCTGTACAGACGGCCGTCCTAATGACACACGAAGAGCTTTGATAAAGTTTGTAATGTTTGGTGTTGAATACTGCTTTGGTATTGAAAATGACTTAAATGTAGCTGCCTCTGTATATTTGTGGTTTACTGTAAGAGCTGAGTTAAACCATGATGAGTCACTCAAAAGCATTTCAGACATTGCAAATCCAGAAAAACACTACGAGCTGCAGTAGACACGGAGGACTGTGGTCAGACAGCATTGCCAAGCACTAACAATGAAATGCTGCAAACTGTGCTGTGTCACAGGATGTTTGTGTGGTTTTGTACCTTCACAACTAATATGAAAAGCTCGCAGTAAAGCAACAGTATAGTATACTTCATGAGTATAAATTAATAGAAATAATAAACTGTGCATAACAAAAATACAAAACCTAATTCTGTGTCACCGTGTTTAGTTTCTATACTGTCTAAACAACATATTGAAAAGTGCATCTAATCACTTTTTATGTTGGCCACGGGCAAAATGGCACGCAAAGTCGTATTTGTCTATGCACATATGGCCACAGATGTTGCACTGGAATGGATGTTCATAGTCATGGCAGCCCATGTGAATAGTGTAGAGGATATTGTCAGAGAAGTGAATATCACAATGCTGGCATTTATGTAAGAGCTGTTGGTCAGGCACAGTCAGGGCAGGGGTGGGCGTGCTGGGCTGGCTGTTGCTCACACTCGCAGTAAGAACGTTCATGTTGTTCTCGAAGCTGAGGCCGGGGACAGGACTGCAGCTCCCCTGGCCTGAGGCGGGAGATTCCTTTTTAGGCGGCGACGTCTGCACTCCGTTTGAACACACTGCAACCTGTTCACTGGAAACATGCTGAATGAGGATGGGCTTCTCATCTTTGAAAGACTCCCTGTCTGGGGATGCAGGAGTCTGAGACTCAGGGTGAAGGTCGGCCAGCTGGCCAGCAAGCGTAGACAGCTGGTCCAGTGGGTTTTTAAAAGTCAAACCGTTGGCACTCCTATTGCGACTGTCACTCTCATCCACCTTGGGTAGGTTCTTAAACTCGCCGCTGTTCAAATGGTGGATCTTGTGAGACAAGTCACTCAGATAATCCGACTTTGGCATTACCATGGAGGGAGGGTTGAAGTTGATGAGGAGCCGGCGGCTGAAGCCCAGCGAGCCCGTCCTCTTCTGCAAAGCGCTCAGCATCCTCTTGTTGGAGAAAGGAGAGCGGACCACCCTGGTGGGCAGAAGCTTGTGGCGGCGCCGGCGGTGGTGCGATAGGTTGCTGCGGTCGCTGCATCGAAAGGCGCAGAGGTCGCACTTGTACGGCTTCTCTCCCGTGTGTGAGCGCATGTGAGCTTCCAAGTGGCGCTCGTACGCAGATGCAAACGGGCACAGCTGGCAGCGGTGAGGCTTTTCTCCTGGGTGAAGGAACATTAACAGTCATAACACTGATATTACCAACCATACGTTACTGTGACAGAGCAAACAGAGGTAAAGAAGGAAGTAGAGTGTAGTGTGAGTACTGCACAAGGGGTTATAAAAAGAATTGTGCTCGGTGATATCGACAAAGTAGACTTCATCATCAGCCCTAGTGAGCCTCTCTGGTTGAGACAGAAGAGAGGATCGTTAGGGCTGAGCTTCCTTCTGTGGACCAATTATACACAAAACAACCAAGTGACCCTATTGAGGATTAAGCGGTGTATAGATAATGGATGGATGGATGGATGGACTCCTCTCCTCCTTCTCCGTTTGCATAGCTCTTATAGCCCTGCACAAAAAATGTCTCTGTACCGAACTGCGTGTGGCAATAAAGTTCTTGACTAATCTAAAGCTGTCTGTGCCTTAATGTGAGAGAACTGACACATACAGTCAGCAGTCAGCAGTATGTCTGGACCGCCTGCATTGGTTCAAAATGTGCTGGGAACACTGACCTGTATGGATGCGGATGTGCTCTATTAAGCGAGCCATGCCTTTGTTGGCATAGCTGCAGTAGCTGCACTTGTACTTTCCATCGCAGGTCCTCTCCAGGCCATCCATCTGAACATCCGGCCCGTCCTCCAGTGGCAGGCTCACCTCCACTGACGGGGGGTCCAGACCATTCTGCTCACACCTTGGGGCAACTACAAATAAAACAAAAAAACAAAAACACAAGCAGCATGACTTCACCATTTGACTGTGTACTCATCAGAGACATGAGGTTTGATTTGTTGTGTCCAGTGTGTCCTCCCCACCGGCTTGAAACGCCTCCGCTGTCTCCTTCTCTCCACAAACAGAGCCTGAGATCATGTTGACATGCTGGGTTTGCTGCGTCAGGTATTCTTGAAATTCCTTCACAAAATCCACAGGCTCCGTCTTTATCTCTTCCATTTTCTCTCTTCTTTATTAAACCTGAAAAAAAATCCAAAGGTAATTATTGAGACGGGTCTATTTTGATATCTGACAGCTGGTGACCTATTATAGCTAGCGTTAGCTAGCATAGCTGTATATAAAACACCTTAATGGTTAGCTTAAAGCTATTAGCAGCTGTGCTAACATCTCCTCGCTATCTTAGCCTTTATGGATTTTTAATACATTTTCAACACTCATATTTACACACTGTCACTAACTTACCTTTCTGTGTGTAACCAACATTATTATTAATCAAACAGAAGAGGGATAATTAATCAGGTACAGTCGTTACCCAGTGGACGTGTGACTTGCTTCCTTTATTTTCTGGTACGTCTGTTTTTGTTTTCACCCAAACGCATCTGTTGCCTTCGGAGACCGTCGGAAATATTACATTATTATTGTCACATTTGGAAAAGTGTTGGGAACGCTTTTGTACATTTCTTTTCTTTGTAGAGCTTGACAAGACCCCCATTTTCTCTCTCTTTCATGTTACCACCATAAGGCACGCTGCATAAATAAGAAAAGAAAAATCACATCTCCACAGTAAACATGCCTTTCATCAATCCAGGTGTGTGACTTTTACAAGCGGCCCGTGAAGGCAGCATCAGCCCTCTGCTGGAGGTCCGCATGTAAACGTTTCATAACAAACCATGGCTGCTCCGTTGGTGAGGCTTTTCTCTAAGGTGAGACTGGATATTATGCCCATGTTCATGTACTTTTGGGGATTTCTGCATGTATTTTAATATATATCCCCCCGTTAAGGTCATTTACCCTTGAATTACGTAACCCGACAAGCTCTTGTTGACATGACGTTGTTAGCTAGCATGCTAACGTCTGCTAGAGCCTAGACTAACTTGTTTGATCCCAGAGCAGGTTGACGATTAAAATAATCGTTTAATTGATTGACTGACAACATTAGTGGTAAACATAACTGCCTAGCATTCAGTCAGACTGTCTTCGACCAAAAAAACCCCACAATCTTTCTACTGATGTTTGTTTCCAGTCCTTCAGACAGGTCTCTCGCCCATGGGGGTCCTGCCAGGCTGCATGGAGGTGCAGCTCCAGCAGAGCTGCCCCAGATGTGGCTTCAGAGCAGGCAGCTGCCTACTCCTTCCCTCCCCTTCAGACATACTCAGAGGAGGAGAGCATGATGAGGGAAGCAGGTGAGCAGAACAACTGTGTTCACGTTGCTGCAGCGGGCTGGTGACAGGAATTCCTAAAGTGCTAAATAACGGTTTTGTTGTTTGACAGTGAAGAAATACGCACAAGAGCGCATCGCTCCGTTTGTGTCAAAGATGGATGAAGATTCTGTCATGGATGAGGACGTGATCAAGTCCCTCTTTGAACAGGGTGTATGTATTTTATTTCTTTTTATTCAGTAGATGTGTCATTACAGTTAAGTCAGTGTTTTCTTTTTTTCTGTGCAGTGACTCACTTTGTTCTTACAGCTCATGGGCATTGAAATTGACCCAGAATACGGCGGCACTGGCTCAACCTTCTTCTCCTCCATTCTGGTCATTGAAGAGCTGGCAAAGGTGGATGCCTCTGTGGCCGTGCTCTGTGACATCCAGAACACGCTGATCAACACACTGTTTAGCAAACTTGGTAACCCGGCTCAGAAAGAACGGTACCTCAGCCGACTGTCGACCGACATGGTGAGCAGTTTGGCATTCTGTCCTAACAGTGGACTCTCCACTGTGTGAAAACACAACATGGTTATTATTAGGTGGATTTTCCTCACTGCAGACTTCACTGCATTTCCTGTAATGTTGTCGTGCACTTCCGTATCTACCTGTGACAGGTTGGAAGCTTCTGCCTCTCTGAAGCAGAGTCGGGGAGTGACGCTTTTGCTCTGAAGACGCGGGCTGAGAAACACAAGGACTATTACATAATCAATGGATCCAAGATGTGGATCAGTAATGCAGAGCATGCAGGTGTTTTCCTGGTGATGGCCAACGTGGATCCTTCTGCTGTGAGTCACTGCTTATGTTTCTATTCTCTGTGTGTTCTCTCGAGTTGTTTATTGACTGACGGCCATGATTTAAAAAAAAAAAAAAAAGGATCGCTTTAAATTGATAAACAAACAATTATTACAAAGACACGTATTAAGTTGAATGTTTTAAAGTCAAATGAACTACAATTTTATTTGAGAAAATGTGTTTTTCTCAAATACAGTTCAGTTGTTAAACACCAAAACGGTCCAAATTCAATCCAAAACAGCAACAATAGAAATTGTAAACTTAAAAATGATGCAATGCTGCAATCAAGATCTCTCTGACTCAGTTTTAGCCAAAGCTCACAGTTTAGATCACAGTGATATTGTGTTGAACTGCTGTACTGCTGTGCATTCGACTGCGTCATGTCCACTCTTGTAGTGTGGGGGAGATGCGTTTTGTCACTGAAATGAAACGTCTGTGATGCAGGAAGGTAAACACAAACTCTCCTCTGATTGGCAGGGCTACAGAGGCATTACCTGCTTCATTGTGGACCGGGACACTGAGGGACTAGAGATTTGCAAGAAGGAGAATAAACTGGGCCTGCGCGCGTCCTCGACCTGCCCGCTCAACTTTGACAACGTCAAGGTGCAACTGGACGCACTGTGCTGTCTGATGTCAGGTAAATCGTACATGTTGTGATTGTTGCCAACTCTCTGCTCCCTGTTGTAGGTACCAGAGAAGAACATCTTGGGAGAGATCGGTCAGGGGTACAAGTACGCTATTGGAATGCTGAATGAGGGCAGGATTGGCATTGCGGCGCAGGTAAACTACGAGACATTTATGTTTAAATTATGTATTCAAATCTAGCTAATTGTATTCTGTGATAACTTTTAAAGTGTAAACTGAAGCTGTTGCATGTGCTGATTTTGTCTCTGTGTGTTCCAGATGCTTGGAGTAGCACAGGGTTGCTTTGACCACACTGTTCCTTACACCAGACAGAGGGTGCAGTTCGGAAAACGTATCTTTGACTTCCAGGTTCAGATCCACTCTGTTCTTCTACATAACATGTTGGTGATCATTCACATCCAGTGTGTTGTCTAGTTGGTTCTTATGTTGTTATGATATTCCGTCTTCCAGGGCATGCAGCACCAAATAGCTCACGTGGCGACGCAGATTGAAGCCGCACGACTGCTGACGTACAACGCTGCTCGTCTGAAGGAAGCTGGGAGGCCTTTCATTAAGGAGGCCTGCATGGCTAAATACTTCACTGCAGAGGTGAGCTTCCGAATTCACCGACTGTGATTTCATACAAGGACATTTGTAGACCTGTTAATGTACAAGTGGGTGACAAATGAAAGCATAAATTGTTTTAGTAAGGCCACCAGAACAGCCTCAGTGCATCTTGGTGTTGATTCTCCAAGTCTCTGGAACTCTTATTTGGAACAATATTCTTCCAAAACCTCATTTTCTGTTTTAATGTTGTGGAGCAGAGTGCTGTCTAACACGCAGGTCCAAAAACATCCCTTTAACTGGGTTAGGATGTGGTGATTGGCCAAAGCTTACAAGTTGCATCATTTTAATTCTCATCAAACCACTCGGTGACCTTTCATGTCTTATGGATTCTCATCCTGGAGATCAAAGATTCATTCGTTCAAACTCCTTGAGGGACGGAGGCCTCATTTACAGTGTTTTCATCTGAGAAGATAAAGGCGCACAAACAAGAAACTCAGATAACCACAAAAATAAAAACATTAAAGGGCAAAGTTACTATTATAATAATAAAACCGTTAATTACAGCATTTAAGATTCACAAACCAATGAATCCGCTAAAACGAGAACAGCTGGAATCAAAATCAATTAAATTAAGAACCTAAATTGCCCTAAGGGGCTTAATGAGTCAAGCTTTGGATTGTTCTGCAGGTTATTTCAGGTTGCAGCTGCACAGTGAGTGAAATTGGATTTTTACAGCTCAGTAAAAATGGCCGACACCTCAGCGTAAAAGCAGGCGTTTGGTTGTTTAGGGGTCATCAGGATAGAAATGTCTCGTCACAGGATGCAGGTGATCAATCAGGACAACTTGATTTGCGGGGTTTCTTTCTTCTAAGGGGACAAGTGGACCCCAAACATGGGTAACCGAGCCACCGGATCCTCTCATTGGAGGAGTTAGGATTCGGGTTTTTCCTTTAATTTGTCACCTTGTGTATAATCTCATAGTTTATAGAGTGAAATGCATCTGTTTTCACATCCATGTTTTCTTTGTAGTAGACCTGAGATGTTTTATCAGTTTTACATTCTTTCTCTGATCTATTCATTGTTGTTGAACCTTTACTTCTCTCTTCATGATTCGTTTATTTTGCGGTATGGTGCTGCTATCTCAGCCAGGAATCCTTCTGTTAGAACTATTCTGGTTTCAGTGAACTAGATTAAAGTTATCATATTATCTCTTTCTGTTTTATCTTCCTCAGGTTGCAACTCTAACTACGTCTAAATGCATCGAATGGATGGGCGGAGTAGGCTTCACCAAAGACTACCCCATAGAGAAGTACTACAGAGACTGTAAAATTGGTGAGTCCGACTCAACTCGGAACCGCTCCAGAAATATCGACTTGACGTTGTTTGTGAGAGCGTTGTTTAGATAAGATGCAGTTTATGTAACTGAGGCGGCACTGTGTGAAGGACACAACTCAGGAAGGCTGCAGGAAGGTCAGGTGTCACTGTTTGTGATTGGACCAGAGTGGGGCGGAGAGCGGGCCTGATAGCGGCGGCTGTAATCGGACTCTGCAGGAATTCCCCCCGTCCGACCCCTCAGAGTGCCATTATACCAGCGCACAGCCAAGGAAGCTGCCAGGGCAAAATGTCACTTTTCCTTTCATCACCACCATTCTGGCTCCCCGGTTCTCCAGGTGGAGCAGCGGCAGACCGAGCTGCATAATGAGCCCCCTTGTCTGCCGGTAGTGAAAGCTTCAGATTCATGTACCGTGCAAGGGGAATTTGACAAAATGGACCTTGTTTTGTGCAGCAGGAATTCATCCTAATGCTTTGTTTTGTCTCCTTCTGCAGGCACCATTTATGAGGGCACGACAAATGTCCAGCTGTCCACTATGGCCAAGTTCATCGATAAGGAGTATGACTACTGAAACCATCTAACCACACGCCGATAGACTGCACTTTGCTTTGTCTCACTCCAGATTTTTTCCTCGAAAGACTTTAGTGGAATCAATCCAGCAGCGTCGTGTTGCTGCATGTTCATAGAGTTTTGTAGCAGCTCGTGCTCTTGTTAAGTAGTTCCTGTTACTGATGTTGTGGTTTCCCCGGCTTTTGGGTTCAAGTTGGTGTCACTTTATAGATTTATTTTTCTTTTATATTCCATTTTCTTTCCAGGCGAGAAATGAGTCGTATTTGTCGCTTTTTAGGTCCTTACCGCATCCTTCCCATGTTAGTCGTCTCCTTATTGAGATGCAGTGATGAATTATAGAACATATCTGATCCTATAAGAGAGATAATTTTTGAAAGATATCGATTGGGATGTTCCGTGGATGTGTCAGTGCCTTCTATTGCCGAAATCAGTAATTTTAAAAGTGTATTTTTCTCTGCATGATGCTCTTTATAACAGGAGGAATGTATGAGTTCACTCACTCATATGCTCCACAGATACTGTACAGCGAGTGATTTCACGTCATGAATTATCTGTAAACAATCATCTGTCAACAGCATTAAATGTAAAATACGATCCGGCGCGAGAACTCGTCGTCTTTGTTCGCTGCGATTCCGAGTTCTCTCACTAGATGGCAGCATTTTACCGAGTGAGGGCAGCACTCTGCAGCTCCACACTGAAAGGGCAGTCAATTACCATGTCTTTTAACAGCCTGTCACCTCTAATGATATTTTATATCAATTTAATTATGCTGGTGCTTCAAATGAAAAGAGGCTGCCTTGCATAATTGACTCGCTGATCATTTTGTAGGTTAGACTGATTAAATTTCAATGGCCTACGTGGGCTGTGTAAAATAAAGTCTATTGTTTAAACAACACAGACGGGCTGTGTTCAACCAAACGGACCCATAAAAGTTATTACCCATGACCCCTCACGGAGAATTACTGTTTGTTTGTTGCAGGATGTCTGTTTGACAGAAAAACGGCTATTAATAGCTCATGGTGCTGAACAATATTTATTTAAGAGAGAATACAGTCCCTGAAAAATCCAGATTCCCATAAATGTGACGGATGATGTGTGTTTATAAGCTGCAGATATTTTTTTTTTTTTAGTTGCACCAGCTAAACTTTATTTTAACCAAGAGAAAATAATTTAAACAGAAGCACAGATAACACTACATTTGTTGATTACACCAGTTGCTGGATATTTTTGCACAAAAAGGACCAAAAAAAGAGACAATTTTCAGCATAAAATTTTACTTCATGTTTATTATTTTAATGTTGGCCTATTAAGACAACATTTTTTTAGCACATTATTATTTTCTCTATATTTGAAAAGAGTGAAATCAGCCAGACAGCTTCTCGTCTTCATGAGAATTCAGCATATTTGTACATTTCTACATCAAACCCTGTCAAAGAAACCTCCACCAAAATTTCAGTGCTACTCCATGGAGCAGAATATAAAGTATGCTGCATCATCCTGATAGAATTTATAATCTGATAGGCTTCCTATAATGTGGGACGTAATTAGCTATCAATCCCTATTCGTCAGACCTTTGCCCTGAATGTGATAGCAGGGGATAATGTTGGTGCTTTAATACCACTGTGAGGAGATGAAGCTCGGACAGACGGAGAACAAAATGTTATTAATATGATCAGCCTGATGATTGCCAAGATATTCCCCAAATCACTTAAATATACAAAAGGGAAACTCAGGCCCGCGTTTGCATCAGCGATTGAGTGTACTTTATTTTCCCCTCTGATCCATTCTGACTTGTGGAGGCCCCTGGTTAATGAACATAATCTGATGAAAAACACAGCTATCCGCTCTTCACTTTGCCTTGGCAAATGCAGCTCAGCTAGCCACTTTCTCCGCCCCCATCTTTAACACAGCTATGAGACCTCTAATTATGCAAGGATTCAAGTAGCTTTTCACAAAACACAGTGTTGTCCTTTAGAGCTGAAGAGCGCTCCATGAGCTAAAAGGACAGGCTGCATATTTGTAGGTTGAGCAAATGCAATTTGTTTGATTAGTTCTCTGCATCTGCTTCAAGTTTGGTTAAATGATGAACCCTAAATGCACCAGATATTGTGGTTTTTTGTTTTTTTGGTTTTGGTTTTGTTTTTGTTTTTTGCATTTTCCCTGTTAGTCTAAACCACAAGTACAAAAGCAGACATATCCAAATAGTACAGGCAAAAATGTTGAGGTCTTTTTTCATCAGAGACATACAGTTTTGTGTATTTTAGGATTTTTCTTGGTGACATATTCTTCATATCAAAAT